CCAGACAAAATTTCTCCTCAAAGCTTTAACTTTAATAACCATTGTTTCTCACTGGGCCACAGCAGTTCTTGCGACCCAAAACTTGTTCCGTGTTGGTTGGGGTGGGTGGAAACAACATAAAGGGAGATGACTGGGTCTTTCAGCTGTTCGCATAATGTACAACTCTGACAACAAAGAGCACTTATATAGAGCACAAGAGGCAAAATGACAAATGATCTACAGTCATGCATTTTTTGTTTGCATTAAACATTCATACTGTCTTCTGTATATACCATAAAACTGTTCATTTCTGCTGACAAAGCAGTAAATTGTGAGCAAAAAGGAGAGCAATGAGAAATATTATGTATTCCTTTTGATTAAGACCTAGACGGTCAAAAGGACACTTGAAAAAGAAAATAGAAAAATGGAGGAAATTGATTCTCGTCTCAGCTAACAGCTGTGTCATGAATAGAGTATGACTCTAGCAAACCTGCACGTATCTGCACTAGATGGAAAGACGTAGAAAACAAGCTACAGAGGGAAGGAAGAACTGGATTGATCATGTCATTGTCAAGATCTCAATAAATAACGTAAGTTAGCAACAAGATTTCTTTGATACAAAAAGCAAACAAATGTTGCTTTGCTTTAAGCTCTGGGGCGACACAAAGGATTTGCAGACCTGGATAAAACGTAGGAATTAAAATCCTGCTGATATGTCATGTGGGGCCTTAGTTAACATTCACTGTCTGGACCTAAGGACTTTTAGACCTAGGACACTTAGGACACCATCAGGCAATTATTTTTTAAGTAGGTGTTTTGTGCGCCCCCATCATCACAATTTAGACCATTTAGGAGGTGGGCTTCAAACTGCAAATGCAATGTCTCGGAAGAAAGACTGAGATTTTATGCTTAACAGATATTTTGTCCTCATTCGGAAACCCACCTCCCACCTTCTGCATGCAATGGTGAAGGACCTAACTGATATCTTTCTAGTAACATGACAAACTTAGGGGTGTAGGAACAGAACATGAGAGGTCCAACAGCCATCTAACTTCGAGACAGGCCATTGAGAGACGGGTGCAATTTTTTTTTTAAATGGCGGGCACAAACTTTTGATCTTTAACTTTAGAAAGTGGTGGGAAATGTCTGTATAAATACAGGAGTTCATTGTTCTGATATTGATCGTAGTCTTGCTTAAAAATCAATTCTGACAAAGCAAAAAAATGGTATGTTACCAAAATACAGCTTTACTATGACATTGCTCGGGCTGGAATTAAACAAAACAAAAGAGTGAAATGTAACACAAGTGATGAGCTTCACTCGGAATTATACAAAAAAAACAAATAAATTCACTCCATACCACATAATCACCCTTTCATGTACAAAATGTCTCAGAGAAGTGTATAAATGAAAAAAGAGTTAAAAACCGACATAGATTTGCTGGAAAAAAAATTCATCAGCTAAAATTCTATTTCTTTCGCTCAAAGCAAAAGAGAACTGCTGTGAATTGTCATGAATTTTAGCGCACTGTCCACAAATAGCTCTTTTACACTAACTTCCACAGAAGCTGAAATTTGATAGAAAAATAACAAAAACAAAAACAAATTTGTTCTTGCACCAAGTTTTTCTCTCAAACAAGACTTTCTTTACATATAACAATAATTTCATTCATTTTTTAAAGCAGTCAAAACAACAAAACACACTGGCTGATGATAATAATAACAGTATTCCTTTCCGTTTCTGAATGACGCACACACACACACAGCCCTATACATTTGCAATAGTCATCAGGCACGACAACGGGTACCAACCAATACAGAAGCAAAGCAGGAGGAGGTGGAGTACCCACAGGACAAAAGGAATGATAACAGAGCTAGAACAACATAGAAATCAATTTGTCACAATAGAAGCAAATTTATTTATCGTGGGGGGGAAAAAAAGTCATGACTACGTCCGACACCCAAAAATCCAACAAAGACACAAAAAGAAGTTACAAAGGTCAAATGTCTATAGAGATATAAATTTATATCTTTAAGAATGTCATTCAAGCATTTGTGTCTTAGTTATTGTATAATAAATATAACATGGTAGTCAAGGCAATATATGGGATTGCTAAAGTGAGGAGTGGTGAAAACAATGCATTGACAAGACACTCAGAGGTACATCAGTTCAGCTAAACGTCCTCCTCCGCCTTCTGTTCAAACATCCTCAAAACATTCGTAAACAGTAACATTTTCTACAAGTCGCAAGTCATTTGAGTCAGGAAAAGACTAACATGATATACAATACGCACACACCCACCCACACACACACACATTAACACGCAAGTGTTCACCTTTAAACAACTATCTTCTTCATTTGTTCTTTCCAATCTAAGACTGAATGGAGCGAAACATTCACCTAACTCATTTGTTCTTTCCCAATTTGTTTAAATTGCTTGTCACAATAGTGAAAAAAAATACAAAGAAAAGAAATGACAAAACACAGAAAATAATCTAGAATTGCTCTAAATGATGCAGGTCTCAAATCTATAAAAACATGGTATACATCTAGAGGCGCATCCCCTCACTAATTGTTATTTTTGAGTGACAGACTATGTGTTTTAGTGCCTATTAATGGCTGCTTGCACTGTATGCTTCCCAGGAAGATGAGGTTGTTTCAGAATGCTCTCAGGACTGCTGGGGATAATAGTATAGATTGAGAAGCACATAGAGCTTGCTGTTGAGCGGGGATTTGCGCTATACAAATGCTATCTATTATTATTATTGATGATATGACCTGCTGATCTTGTCAAGGAAACACCAAGAAACTGCATAGAAACCTAGCGCCTAGGTGCACACAAAGACTGTACTCCTCTATGGGCATAGGCTCTATACAGCATTCATCTCTAAAGAAATTACCCCCTCTTTCCCCTTGACTGACCAGTCATTTGAGGTACTGCGATATTTGTCACTGCTAAAGAGAAGCAGTTGAGAAAAAGGGGTACATAGCATTTGAGGGTTTACAAAAAAAAGGAGCTAAGAAAAGACTACCAATCACGCTAAAAGAAAAAATCTTATATTTCAATCAAAAAGCAATTGATGGTCAAAACAAAGGTCGTTTCAGAGGAACAACTCCACTTTGATGCCACAAAGAATTCTTCGCCAGGAAGATTGTAAAGAGAAGGATAGACATTCCTCCTATTGTCATGAATATTTCACAGTGTATCTGCATGCCAGCCACCAATTGAAAATACTTTCAGTCCACATGCAAAAGAGTTTCTGTGGAATGCGTTCTACTGTACAGGATTATTATCACCAACACGAGGTGGGAGGGTAACGAGCTTCAAGGTGGGAGAATGAAACTAGGTTATCAATCACTTGCTTGAAAGGATGTGCGAGTGCAGGCTCATGTGAGCATGAGAGGGAGAGAGTGTGTGTGTGTGTGTGTGTGTGTGTGTGTGTGTGTGTGTGTGTGTGTGTGTGTGTGTGTGAGAGAGAGAGAGAGAGAGAGAGAGAGAGAGAGAGAGAGAAAGAAAGAAAGCAAGAGAGAGAGAGAGAGATCATGTTTACTTTGGTACTTTTGCTTATTAGTTCATGTAATATTTGCTATAAGGTCCATTGAGCATTAACAGGGCGGAAGCGCACAATACAAATTTGAAGCCGATTATTTCCATCATGGACAATAGAAATGTATGGGCTATTAACAGGAACTATTTTAGCCCGGCTGTTTCCAGTAACGAGAAATACATCTACACTACAAACACCATTTTGCGCACGAAAAAAATAGGAAAGACACAAGAGGAAGAGAAAAGAAGGACTTAGCAGTGGCACCCACTAGCCACCCAGAACCTGACAATGAGTTTAAGTGTCAAAATGATTTTGCGAATTTAGGAAGTCATTCGAAGCCACTGCTGTGCTATACACACCAATTAACCGATTTCTTAACTCTATCCGTACGCCTAGGGTCATTTTGTACCCCAGGGTTTGTATTCTTCACATTTTAGAATACTTATCTCAAAAAATCATTTTGACAGACTGCTACGCAAAGCGTACGGATCGGATTAATGAGTAAATTTCCTCTTTGGAAAGTGGGGGCACAGAGTTCCCACGTCGTATGGATACTATAGTAAAACATGACATGTGGATTGGGTTAAGGATTGCAACTTCAGGTCATTTAGGAGACGGCCTGTATACTAACCTAGGATGCATTTGGCAGTGTTTCCTAGCAGAAAGACAACAAAACTCAATAAAATATCATCCCGTGATGGGAATCGAACTCATGTCTTTTTATGCAAGGAGGATAACGAACTGGGCACAGTGCTTATTGCTGCAAGGCTTATTATCATCATATATATCATATTATCCCCCCCCTCCCTCCCAGGAGATCAGGTGGGTCCAAAAGTACATGCCTTATGCCATACCAGACAATTATAATCCTTGGGATTACGTTAGAAAAAAATAAACAAAAGGTGTAGGAGAACAACGAAACCAATCTAAAATGTACAAGAAATACTGTAAAGGAAACCACTGAGATGTGAACTACTGGAGCTAATACTCATATTGCATGATACACTTTAGTAAGGCTTCCACGAGATATGTCGGTTGAACTGTGATTCTGTTCATAAGCATAGAGAGTCTCGGATTTCACTCAATCATCGACATGTATTTGGCGCACACTGGCATTCTAAAAAAGCAAGATGCCTAGGCATGAGTAACTACGGTACTTAAAATACATACATACATACTTACAAACAGAAAATCAGGTTTAAGAATTCAACAGAGTACCTCTGGCTTGCTTTGACACAGTAAACTAGTTCGTGAAAAAGCTTTTGGCTATTGAGCATACACTTGTAACCTAACAACCCCCTCCCGCGAGCCAAACTGGATATGATGATGGGGGGGTGTAGAGATGTGAGAACTTAATGTACAAATTGACTTCCACTACAAGATTCATACATCCCTTCCCCCTCCCACAATTTGCTTGTAAGACATGACTAATATCCATTATGTAGACTTTCATTGACAACGACCAGACATAGATCAGCTACAACAAGGCTTTTATTTTTGTTTTAAACTGAAGCAAAAATACAGTTGGATGAGATGTGGTACAAATGCATAGCAATGTGTTCACATCATAAAACATTCAACCACAATGAAAAAGAAAAAAAAAGAAAGGGTAAAAAAAAAAAGTAAATATCAATGATCAACATGTCTCAAGTTTTGTTTTGGTGAGTACAAAAGACAAATAGTGATAAAATGTACGACTAGTTTTCCACAGGAACAGAGTGATGCCTTATTATTTCCCCCTCACTCAGGTAGTCCTTTTTCTAAAACACAGCTGCCCTTTCTTGTCCTTTCCCCCAGATCTTCCTTATGCTGATGCAGTTGGAAGTTTGATTTCGGTGAGGGACAATTGCACCTCCTAAACGGAGCCCAGCTAGACACTAAACACAGACGTGTACAACGTTACAGCATCAGCTACAGCAATCATAAAAGACAGTCTTTCTCACACTTTATGCCAGCCACTTCGTTGTGTACCATTTTACCCTTGATCTGTATCATTCCACTAGGTGTCTAGAAACTGGCTGGACCAAAAGAAGAGAAAATCAAATGTCTTACAAACAAAAACTGCTTCACAAAAATACATTCCAAAATCAAAACATAAGCAGATTTTGTCATTCTTCGGCTAAACCAACCACAGAGTGTCTCTCTAAAAACACATCCAAGTGAAGTAGTCATTTGGACACAAGACATCAGTCTGTTCAATGATGTCCACTTCGGTGAGACGATGACATCCATACTCATTCGCTTCCCTTCATTTTCACAAATGTCAACAGCTACTCCCACAAGTCTTTATCCCTGGGGGGATGCACTTTCTTCCAAAGTCTGAACTGTCCAAAGCAGCAATGTTCAAAGTTTCCTACAAAGTGAAAAACAAAATTATGATAAATTGTTACCTGTTGATGGTTACACAAATCTCAGAAGTAACAGTGTCCTCAAGATGTGTAATGTATAGGTTTATTGCCATATCAACTCCATTAGTAATATTAGGTTATTTAATAAGCAGGACCTCTGAGTTTAACGGCTTGTCTCCGAACAGAATCAGCCAAATGGGAAATTCGTTTAAACTTTCCCCAGGACACAATGCCAGACCTAACTGGGGCTCAACCCCCCCACCCCTGAAAACAGAAGGAAAAAGTTTGGGAAGATTAAACTACATCCGGCAGGATAAGCACTTAGAAACAGTTCAAAGCAAACAAAAACCACAAGCATCTATTTCCTCAATTGACATTTGCAGAGAATAGTAAGCACTTCATCTATAAACGGGAACAGTGACTTTTCAAAAAGTCACTAGATGACCCATCCAGAGCTAGTTAGGAATCGTTTACGCCTATCAAAGTTAAAGTTTACGGCACTTGCAACATAATAAGGTAATAAAAGGGCCCAAAATTTGAGGTGTTACAAGAGAATAACAAACACAAAAAAAAAAGAAGAGCGATCAGGACGATAGATGTTTGATAGAAAAGAAGGAGAACTACAGAAAAAGCACCTGCCAACCACCCTGCATAACCAGGAATCAGTATCATTGGAATGAAACAAGAGTGTTCAAAGAAAACTGAACTGTAAACTCCACATACAAACTTTCAGTGTTTTCTTCAATGACAAAAGCCACAATTGGCTTCACATACGTTTTAGTTAATAATAATAATAATAAATAGCATTTATATAGCGCTTAAATGACTGATAGCTGACATAAACACACAGTAAATTGTTCCAAAGGTATAGATATCTGTGAAGGCTACATTTATAACATTACTTTCTGTCCATTTTTCATCCCTATCTTCTCTTCTTCTTTACACCGTATAAAACATTTTCCCCCCTCATTATACTTGCGTCTGTCCCAAGTCTACATATGCACACAACATACATGGAAGTAAACATGAAACAGGCATTCATTGGCCTCCTTATCATGAAAACTCCCCCCCCCCCCCCCCCCCTTCCTCTATCTCTATCACTCACTCACACAAACATTCACACAAACTCCCACAAACACACACTCTTTCAAGCACATAAAACTCTCCTAATCAAACACACACACACATACAAACAACATCTCACACTCCGCATACACACAAACACTATCTCACACTCATAAGACTCTCAACACACACGAACAGAGAAAACAACCGACACAGATAACCAAGGGACTCCTCACTAAGTAACAGATAGTCAATCAGTGAAAAGAGAGAAGAAAAAAAACTAGAACACTTATCAACTAGCTAGAGTATGGAAGTCCATTCGCAAAGTAAAAACAGAGGACACTTACCAACTAGGCAAAGTACATGACGCGATAGGTATCCTGGTGCACGGTGACCGCCCTGGCCAGGTACAAGGGGTTGCGGTCCTCGCTGTTGTCCGAGTGGCGGGAGCCTTCGCCGCTGGAGAAAAAGTCATCACTGTCGGGTGAGAGTCGTTAGAAGAGGGGCGGGGCCGAACCCCCCACCCTCAAGAGAAACGAAGACACACGTGGGTGTGAGAGTGTGAGACAATGGCACATGTCTACACGCCAACAGGCACAGTTCTATGGGAAGATAGACCACAAAGAACTGTGCTGGCCTTGGGGTTTTTAAAATTTCATTCTATTCTCATTTTGCTTTTTTACTTTTAAATTTAGAAGAAAATAAAATTACAAACCCAACTTTTCTACTAACCCAACTCCAATTTTTAAAAAAAAAAACAACCTTAAAAAATTATTTTATACAGACATGAACTTTGATTTTTGTACTTCAAGCTTCCCCTCTACCAGTTAACAAGTCATGTCCTGAGAATATTTGTGACAAGCTCTTTTTAAGAATGGTCAATACAAATCTGTCATCCCTGTCAATAATGCATTGAATACCACAGAATCCAAAACAACACTACTATAACCAGTTCTTCTCTTTTTTCTTTCTTTTTAAATTTAAAGTATCTAAACTTCTGTAGAACAACAGTATCTGAATCTAACTCACTACGAACTCATAAATAACAATAAAAGACAAAGATTCAGTACAGCTTCTGTTTACATTAGTATATAAAACAAGAGCATTTGAGCTCACTGATTATTATAACATATTGCCTCCTACAATTCTCTCGGACAATGACTTCAGTTTCAACTATCAAACATAACTAACAACACGGTCCACATACTTACATGTGAACACAGGATAATTCGTACTAACAGCTGAAATTTTGCAATGGAGAAAAGGGTATTTTTGTCCCTTTCCTATCCCTGAATTTCAAGGATTAACGAGATATACGTTTGAATAAGCTATTTACTATCCTAATGTTGCGGTGAATATCTCATTCTCCTTCAGAATAACGATATCCTGTTCAAATCCTTGAAAAACAACAAAATAAGTAATCAAAATAATAAATAGAATAATATTATTAATAAGAAGAAGAATCATAATAATAGCAACAGCAACAACGATGTAATAATAATAATAATAGTAAATACTGAAAACAATAATAATTAGGAATGAGACAAATATTCCAATGGCAATGGCAAGTACACTACTCAAAATATCTTCCTCTGCTGATCCTTTAAATCATTCTTTGTCTCAGAAAAAAAAGGCACAGCTGATTAAAAGCTGAGAGTTTTAACTCTCCGCAAACTTTTAGACCAAAGCTTACAATACCCTGAAGACTACATGAAAATAATTTTTTGCTCCTTTTTACTTCCCTCTCTGAAAAGGAAAATAAACAAAACCAAAAACTTTCTATAAACTACTTTTCAACACAACAAAATAACGACTGTTAGTTTAGTACCTGCAAGACAAAATACCTTTAAAAAAATAACAAAGCAATAAAGCAACAACATAGTAAGAAAACGATGAAAAATAAAGCTGCCGTTTTCGCTCATAGCGTTAAAAAGGGGGAAAAAGCCCCCCATCATGTCACAATTTAAATATCTTTGCCAAGCTTCTCTACACAGTGTACTGGATAGAATCATGCAAAACGCTGCAGTAACTAAAGATTTAAAAAAAATTAAATTAAATTAAATAACAAAAACAACTTGTCATCCGAGAAAGCTGTGGTCAGGCCACGATGCATCAAAGCTACACATTTTCATTGGCTAGTTTTATACCGATTTGTTTTTACCCCCATCTCCCCCACCAATTTTCCTAGACTCAAACAATGCGTCCAAAGCGGGGGACCTTAAACCCTGGCCGAGCACAAAGAACGAAGAACATGGATGGGTTAATGCCTTTCCAACATACAATAATAACAGTCTAAGGGTTAATTCACAGAAGAAAGAACAATCAGAGAGAATGTGGCAAAATTTGATATTGAATTGTGTGTGTATATATAGTAAGCACAGTTCTTTTTTTACTAGATTATTTTAAAATGTACTTATCAAACAGTTAGGAGAACCTTACACTGCCTAGAATTATTTATTGCTTTCATCTCCCCATATTTGTCTACTTGTCTCTTAGCATTAAGCTGTTCATAATAAAAAAAATCAGTCTTAGAATAAAACTAAATACAGTCTTCGCATTAAGTTGTTCATAATTTTTAAAAATCATTCTTAGAATACAACTAAGTACAGTCTAATCAAAATCAGTGAAAAAAACAACAGCTACACTTTAACATTTTGCGCTTTTCTCAAACATTTCATGCCCCCTACCAATGAAAGCAAATAATTCTTATATGGTGGATGTTATGTGTGCTAATTATATATATATATATATATATATATATATATATATATATATATATATATATATATATATAGTATATATATATATATCCTACCACAGCTATTCTTTCACTTCTTAGACAAACAATGTACACACATTTGTGTTCAAGTATGTGTACATGAGTGTGTGTGCATGTGAGTGAAAGTGTAAGCATGTGGGCATATGTGTGGATTTACGCATGTGTGTGCGCGCGCGCGCATGTGTGTGTGTGTATGTGTGTGAATATGAATGCGTGAGCATGGGTGGTGTGAATACACCTCTGTGTGAAGAGGAAATGTGACATGGTTTGGGAATTATGGCGATGTGCATAAATATCAAGCCAACCCTCAGACCAGTCACACTGCCAAGCTTGAAAAACATCTCAAATTCCACTTTTTAAATCTGTAACAAGACTGTCCCTGGAAAATCAGGCTGAAAAGGAATGCCACATCATTTTTGTCAAATTCCGCAACTGCTCAAAACCCGTTCCACATCGGAAGTTATGACCAACCGATAGCTGCATTTCGATAATTAAAAAAGTGCCTCTCATTTCTTGACATGAAGTTGAGAGCAGATGACTGCTGGAGGCAAGGCAAAGGGGACCCTCTTACTCCACTGTGCAGAGGCCTCAAATATGGACCTGCCAGCAGACTCAATATTGGATACTTGCCAAATACATCATACTGCTTTTTGTCCTACCCTGTGTCAAAATGAGACTTTACACACTGAAAGCTTTTAACCAACAGCATCGACCAAACAAAAACAAATAAACATACACAAGTGTGCATCATAGTTGCATCAAGACCTTTTCTGTCGGGCTTAGAGAGGACAGAAATGCATTGCATATCACACTGACCTCAAGTTCGGTATACCGAAAAACTTACTTCTTTGTGACTTAGAGAGGAAAGGAAAACCCTGTGCATAGCAAGGATAACCACTGCATTACAAATTAACCAGTAAACAAAGTGAAAGGAAATACAAACGCAACGCGTAAATAGAGGGAAAGCCAGAGAGATGGGTAAATATAATGTGACTATAGAAGTTTTACACCAGAGAGTAATGACGCAGAAGGCAATCTTATATTTCAGTCATCAACATGTGAAGTGGGATGCAAAAGCGACGGTGCAGATATGACTGGCTCACACTTTTCTTGTTTACCTCAAGATGCAAATTAAACAAAAACCTACATCTTTCTAAATTGAACCTACATTTCAATTCCTCAGCCCCATTTTTGAATGGCTCCACGAGAGAAGCATTGACAGTTGAATCCGATCTAATGGCCACCTGTCCCCTAGACAATTGCCTGAACAAACAGCCACTTCCCCCTCGTGTTTGTTAAATCTTATCAAAACACTGTCCAAGACACCTATCTGTTTGTAACAATCACATATTCTGTTCCAACAATCGGTGGCCACCGTGGACAATTTTGACTTTAGCCCCCCCCCCCCGCTGTCCTTGCCTAGAGTACAGCCTTATTTGTACTGTTAGTAACTCTTTACTTGTCTTGTTCTATTTACTTTGGTTATCAGTTCAATTAAAAGAAAGGAAGGCGGAAGGGTCTAGTGAGGCATCAGTGGTGTTCGGGTTCGGGCCCTTTGTCCTCATACACAGAAAACTCAAGTACGATCCCTATGTGGGGAGGACTTTTGTTGAGTTGTTTCGTCTTTCTGTTGAGACGTTGCATCCCTCTCAGCCCGGGTTAGCCCTGACAGGCAGAGTTGAAGCCTGCCTAAAAAATGTCCTAAACTATGTCAACGATTGCATAAAAATACCTACATTGTTACAAAGTCTTTTTTTTAAAAGAAGAATTAATAATAAATGAGTGACGGAAATAAGAATGAACGGCCTGAGAACCTGAAAACAGGAAAATGATAGAATTGAAATTGAAATCATTAATGTTTGTTTTAACATTAAGCAGTTATGGGTGACCCAAACGCACCCATAGACCTTGTTAGGATAACGCAGGAAGAAAAAAAAATTAATTTTAACTTATAATTAAGGTGGGTTCGGTATTAGTCAGAATCTCCAGGCTCTTTTTTCCTGCAATTTGTTACACTTACTTAAAATCAAATATATCAAACCCCCACCCCATGCATGGAAGGAATATACTGTTGATAAGTTGTCGTCTTTTTTACTTCCATCAGAAGGTGTTTATGGGTGCATAATAGTGACAACTGGTAGGTTACTGCATTTGCTTTTTTTGGGGTCCTCATTTTCATTTGAAGTTTCCCTATCCAACCTTTTGTCATGTGTACATATGCTGCCCAAGGTACATAAAATCCTCTCTGTTTGAGTTGTGTCCTGTCAATGGTGAAGTTCAACAAAAGGCCTGGATTTCTCCCGATTTTCATTACTTCTGTTATGGGAATACAGATTCTCATCTAGCATACTTTCCATTTTTCCTTCAGGCTATTTGTATCTTCTTGCAACCAACCCTCTTTTGTGTCTTTCTAAAAACCCACTGATGCTCCTTTAAGAATTCCATAAAACATCTCTGGAGTTCTGTGCTGGTGCCGATGAACAGCATGCATTTTAGGACAGTGCTTGTCAACCTTATTATAACCAGTGCCCACATCTACCTTCTGAGCAGGTCACTACATCATACTTGTCACCATCCAGCTGGTGATCCCCATCGCCCACCAAAGTTACCAAATCCCCTACTTGTGGGCAATATCGCTCAGGTTGGCAAACACTGATTTAAGGACAATAATAAAACTAGGGTGTGAGGGTGCTGGAACTGTGTCAGAGTCAGGAAAATGAATGCATCAAGTCTGAAAAGGTTACAAGGATCAAAAAAGGAACTAAACATCCTACCTTCGGATAGAACTACAGATAATACAGAGGAGTGGTTTGCATTATTCATACAATTCAAAAAGTACGCATAAAAACCAAATATTTACAGCACAAAAGACTTCCACTAAAGGAAAACATTTTATCGAGTTTTCCCACACTTTCGGCAGGAAATTGTATCCCACACAAAGACTTCGTCAGCCCAAGTATGGCAGGGTAAAAAAAAACAACAGTACATCTTCCAAACGGTCCAAATTGTGTCTATGAGGGCTAAAAACAATTACAATCATTAATTATGTGACTACCATTCTGAACATTCGACAGGTGAAATGGCATTCTACTCCAAAACAAAACACAGCTGTCATCCACAAACACAGTTTACACATCAAATTCTTGCAAGTCAGGGTCGTCAACGTTATAGCAACACGAGACCCTGGTCTAAGACAACATAGCCACCCCAGGACAACACAGAAAGCAGACTACCACACTCAAAGCTCTACAAAGCCGTTTAGTACAATGTGCTGATTTACACGACTTGTAAATGAAAGTGTTCCCTACGACTAAGCAACTACACCAACAAGCTCTAAACCAATCTGAGCGGCTGAGGAAGAATGAGTGTACAAGACAAACGAACCGAAAGAGAAACGAGAAAAAAGTCGGATCTCGGAGTAACGGCACTGCACGTTACTGCAAGTTGATGCGATAAGTCGTACAATTCAAGGATACTAATTACAGTTGGAAAAAAAACCCAAGCTCAAGGAACTGACCACATCACTTCACTCATCAACCATCAGTGACAGATGAAGATGATAGAGCTACTCAAAATGAAGATGAAAGAGCTACCGAAAAAGATGACTAGAAGATGCAACCTTGAGACAAATGCTTGCCGGCAAATGCCATGACAGTAAGGAATAAATTCAGAGTATTAAATAATTCGTGATACTAATAGGTCAAGTAAAAACTAGGACAGAGATGTGGAAAAAGAAGTCAGAAAGCAAAAACAAGAGAAGATCTTACCCATATATAGTAATTTTAAAAAAAATAATAATTCTAAAATAAAAACGGACATGAATACTGAAAATTCCCTTGGCATCTGCTATTAACAAAACATCTCAAGTCATATTTCGCAATCAGTTTAGGACAAGCAACGGATAGAAGTAAAGATAAAAATTAGCCAAAAAACATGACACTTTTCTTCTTCAATCTCATAATCATTTAAATGATTCTCTAAATGTTCCTCTAGCTGAATAAAAGAAATATCTCATTAACAAACGTAATGTGCCAGACAGAATAACTCTACCTGCTCAGAAGCAAAATTGAAATCACACTGGGGCAGGAAAGACCACACACTCATTTGGACAAAGAGGAAAGGGGTGGGCAAACGTAGGACTGAGAGAACAACAGGGATGTTGGAAGCGAAACAAACTTTGAATGTTCCAGTCCCACAAAATATTCATGGTTATTTTCAGATGCGGGAAAAGACTTTACAAATGTGCACTTCTAAACTAAAATGCATAGTGAAACTGAAGTCCACTAACAGTTAACCCACAAGGGATCAAAATTTCCACCTTTATATGACTTAATATCTTTAAAAAAAACAAGAGACCTTTAAAATGAAAATATGAAAAATTCTGCTATTCATTAATTAACAAAACCTTTTCCATTGAACTATGTTTCCTGTTTTTTTAAAATGGGAAAAGAAACCCTCCAAAACACAAGAGACTTTAAAAATAGAAATATGACCACTGCTTTTCCTAAGCAAATGCCTTTTTCTTTGAGCTACAGCTTCCAAGTTTAAAAAATAACACGAAACGATGGCTGAAAAATAACCATGCCAAATAAGTATTAACGCTTAATGTGCCTGAGACTAATCAGAAGGGCTCAATTTGACAGGATTGAACTCAGGGTGGGGGGGGGTTTGTTGGTGTGTGTGGTGGTGGTGGTTGTGGTAAAAAATGGGGAGTAAATTTCAATGGACACTATATTTACCTGAATTCTATATATAACAACCTGCTGATGTAAAAATCTTTCCAGGAAGAGAACAAAAGTAAGAACAACACAAACAGACGTAAAACACTGGGTTTCCTTGTGTGTGCTGTTGTAAGAACAGTGCAGAAGCACTGGGGGGTGGGGTGGGGGTGGGGAGGAGAAGGGGGAAGGGGGAAGGAAGACAAGCCCCAAGACTTAAAACGGAAGAACTGCTGCCGCTGCGGCTGCCGCGAGCAGCACCCGCCATGTACCCACCTGTCGTGCTCCTTCTCCACCAGGTGGTAGCGCGCCCGGAAGGCCACCAGGTGGGCGTAATAGGCCGGGGCGGGGATGGAGACTGAGCGCGTACAGCGCACGTAGGTGTGGCACAGCTGGTACGTCAGGATCTGGAGCTCATCCGCGTTGAAGCGGTTGTCATCCCACAGCACGTGGTAGTGCGAAGGCCGGCTGGTGCCCTGTGTAGTGCGTGAGTGTGAGTGTGTGTGTGTGTACATGTGTTTTGAGGGGTGGAGTGTGTGTGTGTGCGTGTGTGTATGTTTGGTGGGGTGGGAGTGGGGGAGAAATATAAATCAGTTCTTTGCCATTAATTCACAGAGGCACATAACAGTGATAAGTCTATATTTGCGCTGATAGTGAAAACGTGACTACTTTTTTGCTGTTAATTCCGAGTAATGTATAACAATGAAAAGTTTGTATGAGTAAAGAGAAGCAAACCAATACAATAAAAGGTCATTAAGTGTACGGGGAAACCTAATTTTTGCTTCAGGACATACCACATAAGCCAATGACTGAGTTCAAGACTCCAAAAAGACAGACAGCAAAAAAAGCATTTCTTGTATCCAGTTGTCAATTCGAACTTAACAAAAATAACAAATAAAACCAACTAAAAGTAGTTCACTTTTTGACATAGACGCTTCTATTGAAACATGGTTCGGGTACCTGTATACCAGCATGTGAGCACAGGTAGAAATCAAACTCGGTGGGGTGCGTGATGCCCTGGTCTACTGTGGTGCCGGCGGGAATGTTGCCGCTGCGGCCCGTCTGGTCCCTGCGGTCGGCGCAGAACAGCCGCGTGTGGTGGCGCTTCTGGACCACGATGAAGGTGATGCCCGGCTGGTACTCCACCTCCAGCTTCATACAGGCTTCACGGACTGCGCGGAGTTCGTGTCCCAGTACCTGATTTTTATTACAAGGGGGGAGAGGGGGGGTGAAGGGAATAGAGGATATATACACAGAAACATAAGTACGGATCCTTAACGAAAAGAAGCATTTTATTACATAATAAAGAAGAAGTTAGGAGAAAACAAAGATGACAGAAATAAATGAGAACAGAAAAATTGGGGACCATCCAACCACCCCCTACTAACTGAATTACGCACACTGAAAATTTATCCACCTTGGTATCCACACCCCCACTCCATCCCCAAAGTTAACCAGTTTTTAAACATTCTGAAGACCTCCACTGACTTCACCCATTAGAGCCCAAGTTTAAGTTTTAATGAGCCTTTTACAGCACTTGTAACACAGTTATGTCATATTAGTGCCACAGATTGGAGATGTTACAAGAGAGTAACAAACACACAAAAAAGGAGGAGAAGAAACAATAAATATCTGATAGGGGAGAAGGACCAAGCAAAATGTATAAGAATCAGAGCATAAGAGAATTCTATTGAAGATAGATGGGTACCTTTTACATTGAAAGCAAGACAAAAGAACAAGCTTTAAGATGATATCAGTAACTCCATATGCCAAAAAATTGACGAGCGCTTGATTCCATCGCGTTGTGACTCACTATAATAAAACAGGCAGTCATCACTCACCGTCTGGAACTGTCCCTCACTGACCCCGTCACGGTAGAAGATGATGCGGGTGGGCTTGAAGCTAGTGGAGCGATAGAACTGAATGAGCAGATCCTTAACCATGGTGGCCAGGTCACGAATGATCTCCTGCCGGTGCTCTTGGACCCGAACCGTTGCCGAGTAGCGACTGGGGTGAGCGTCCATACTACCTACCACCTGTGGAGGGGAAACGGACAGTGGGTGATCTATGGTTCACTTTTACTTTAATTTTTTAGCAAGAGTTTAACGGAACTTGCAACACAATAAGGTCATATAAGTGCCGAAGATCAGAGGTGTTAGAAGAGAGTAACAAACATAAAAAAGAAGGAGGAGAGATCAGGACGATAGATGTTTGACAGGAAAGAAGGAGCAAACCACACCAGAGCACCCGCCAAAACCCCACGTTCACTTTTACAAGAGGTAATGGACTTGAATCTTGTGTGCAAGTACCTGGTTTATTTCATAGTTTGAGTAGGCATACTGTCAGAAGAAAAGAGAGTGAGTGTGTGTGTTTGTGTGTTGGGGAGGGTGTATTCAGGATAGAAACAGTTATCCAGCATTTTTGGAAAAAGAAAAGGAAAAAAAGAGCCCCCATATTCAGGGCAGAAACAAGAATCTAAAGTTTTCAGAAAATGGGACCCCCCCAAGAGTCCTCACAGATACCTTAGTCATTATAGTCATTGAAAAAAGAATAGAAAACCTACAAAAGCAAAAGATTGCAAACCCACAGTAGCCTCCATCCACAACAGAAAAAACTATCATGACTCGTAAAACCATTTTGGAAACCTGAATTCCACCTCTACATCTAATGAAAAAATCTTTTTTTTAAATAGTAAAACACAATTCCATATCACAAAATCACATCTAAAATCAAAGTTAATAAACAAATTCATATATTCTCTCTATGAGCATCTACATGTACTTACGGCAGCAATGGAAGGCTTGAGTGTGTCGCCTGCAGGTGGGTGGGTCACATCGGCACCAAGGAATATGATGGGCTCTCTAAACACATGAGGCCTGAGGGGAAAAGTAATGACAGAGTAAAGACCAGTAAAAAAAAAAAGACTCCTGCAGCCTGTTAACTGATTAAAAAAATAATAAAAGCAAAACTATACGATCGTAATAGCAATAGTTGATATATTAGCCTATGAAAATCACACAGACCCAGTCATCACTTACATTTGAACACAAAAAAACTGGTACTTACGGCTTGAAAACAGTAGTTTTAGTAAGTGTTTTACAGCACTTGCAACACAATACCGTCATATAAGTGCCAAAGATAAAATAGACATGTTTCAAAAGAGTTAACAAACTCAAAAAAGAAGGAGGGGAGATAAGAACAACAGATCTTTGATAGGAAAGAAAGAGCAAACCACACCAGAGCAACCCCCCAAACCACCCACAACCATACTAGAAACATACAGGATGCCAAAGCCAAATACATTAATGGGAATGTTTAAGATTTTTAAAGTAGGTGTTTTACATCCGCACTGAAACGATTTAGATCATTCTGACTGCTGGCTTCGACCCAGCATGTCAGGGCCAACCTATGGCCAACCTACGTTGAGAGGGATATTACCCAGCAGAAAGACCAAAATATTCTATAAAAATCCTCTCCACACAGGAATTGAACTGTCTGCAATTGTAAAGTGCCTAACCACTACACCAGACACTACAATAAATCAAAATGACATCAACACATTTTTTTGGAAAATGTACATAAAAATGTTAACTATAAAAAGAAACAGAGGCGCAAACTACACTAGAACATCTCCGAATAACCAGCCAAAAAATATAAATGCCAGTCTTTATGTAAACTTTCAAGAAAGCACAAATTCCGCAGGAAACATAGTAAAATAATTAGTTTTGCTTCACCCAAAAAAAAAACCCAAAAAAAGAAGAAGGGGGAAAAAAACAAAAAAACAAGTCCCAAGAAAGTTGTCCTCACCTGATACTGGGCAGCAGGATGCTATTCACACCTCCCAGCTTCACGTTGATCTTAAGGCAGAGATTGGACAGGAGCTGGGGAGTGGTTTTGTTCACGTTCTTGGCCTGGGCACACTGCGTGGCAAGACCAAAACAGATGTCGCCCACACGTTTCACTTCGGCTGAGAACAGAAGGAAAAAGCGCGATTTTGGGGCAATGCAAACAAAAATCACTTACCAAAATATATTGTTTTATCTAAATATCTTTTGCAGCAGGTTATATTAATTTATTTCAATTAGTTGTCATGGGAAAATACTGGCAGTGTGAAGACTCTTGAGAAACCCGAGTTTGATATGCCTGATTTAGATCACTTAAAAGGCTGGCTGCTTCGACCCTCCTTTTCAGGATCGACCCAGACTAAGTGGAATACACCATCCCAGCAGGCAAATGGAGTTCTCATTTTTTAAAAACCTCCCCACACTAGAAGCAAACTCACGTCTTCAGAGTATGACAGCAAGAAGCCTATCCTCAACATCAGACACAGGATATCTGATTTGGAAGTTGTTTGTTTTAGTAAGATTTTACAGCGCCCGCAACTGCATAAGGTCATATGAGCGCCAAGGGGTGGCTGTCAACAGTGAAGTCCAAACAGGGAATCAGGCTTACTCTGCTCACCTCTCTAGCCTCAACAGCACAAAGTCTGCTTCGACTATCAAGGCACCCCGGAAATAGCAGTTCACAAGAGAGTGACAAACATACAAAACAAGTCGAGGAAAGATGATGATAGTAAGGATGAGGAAAGAAAAAGCAGTAGTTCCCCCTATGTTGTTCCGGCATAGTTTGAGCATGACATTGAAAAATCAGCCCACTTACAATTCTACTGCGCAAAAAACATTTTAATATCCCCCCTTTGGGAATGGCCTACAAACATTTCAGTCAGTGGCACTGCCTGGGGATGGGGTGGGGGCGTGCTACAACAAACACCAGATATCTGATTTGGGACAAATAGTTAACACAATTAAACAACAATACCAAAGAGAAACTGACCATAGACTGGCGTCTTGCCCGGCAGCACCACCACGATGAGCTGCAGGCCCTGGTAGGTGTTCTTGAGGTAGCGGAACATGGGCTCCACCTGGTCCGGCCCCGAGGCGTACTTGCAGAAACAGGGCTGGCCCATGATGGGCATGCCGGCGTCGTTGGAGATACGCTGGAGCTGCTGCGTGAAGTTCCTGGGAAGACAAAAGACAAACACTGAGCTGTCAGGGTAAGTTTGGAGTTAGTTTAGTTTTAGAAGGGGTTTTTCGCCGCTTGCAACACAATAAGGTCATACATAAGTGCCGAAGATTAGAGATGTTACAAGAGAGTAACAAACATAAAAAAGAAGGGGAGATAAGGACGATAGACGTTTGATAGGAAAGAAGAAGGGGAGATAAGGACGATAGACGTTTGATAGGAAAGAAGAAGGGGAGATAAGGACGACAGACGTTTGATAGGAAAGAAGAAGCAGACCACACCAGAGCACCAACCAACCACCCACAGTTTGGAGTTAAAAGAAGCAGTTCCATAAACTAATCATGATCAATCAGTGTTTGAAAAAAAGCAAAGACTACAGAGATTTTAAAAAAGGGAAAAGAATAGAAGTTGTTCTTACCAGTGGCACCCTATGATCACCCTCAGAGCAGAAAGCCGGTTATTTTTAAATGGCAAACAGAGTAGAATAAAATAAGGGAGTTTTGAAGGGGGCGGGGGTGGGTGGGTGTACGTGTCCTTTTTTTTTTTCACTTAATTTTTAGCTTTACAAAAACACTACCGTGTTGACACCATCATCATCATTACGTCATATCGAGAGTATAAGCCAACAACAGGAGCTCTCCGACTTCTGTCCAGGGCTACAGTCTCTATCTTTGTCCAGCTGTATTATTCCATCTTCTTCAGGTCGGAATCTAAGTCCTTCCTACAAGTACATTCCGGACTTCCATTCTTTCTATTTCCTTGTGGATTCCATCTTATCACTTAATAATATAGCTCGCCAGTTCAGCTCGTGTCGCATCCCTTCCTCATTTACAGAGAAAGATAAATTCAATACGAAATCCCACCAGATCTATCTTATCGATGATCAAACTTCATGACTGTTGTCTGGATCATTCATCTCTACAGAACAGCATGCTTTAGGGTGTGAACATGCGCTTTGCAAATGTAATCAGTATTATTGAGAAAAAGAAGAAGTTGTTGGTGTTGCTGTTATCGATCTAGCAACAGCTGGGCTCTCGCCCTTCGGTCCAATGCCATGTAGTGATACGTGCAGGTTTACAGCAGTTGCTGTAATGTTCCATAGAGTGTGTTGTCAATGTCAGGTCTCGGTGGGAGAAGGGTAAAAAGAAGAAGTAAAAGCACATACCTCAAGGCATCTTCCCTGACAGTTCTCTGCGGGGCGAAGCAGGCGATGGCCCACACCCGGATCTCGATTCCCTGGTAGAACTGTTTGCCTCTCATATCCCACACACCTTGGTTGGGAATGGCTTGGGCTTTGGTCTGCACGACAAGCAAAAACATAGTATTTTTTTAAAATTATATAATTTTAGTAAGAGTTTTACAGCATTTGCAACGTAAATAGGTCGTACAAGAGTTGAAGATTAGGGGCGTTACAGTTACCAGAGAGTTACAGATATAGAAATCTTTTTTCTTAAAAAAATTAACATTTCAATATAACTTTGCTTCTAAGTATGTATTTAAGCTAAACCCAGCAAAAGAACTTTACACTATCCATGTCAGAACAAGAATTTCATTTTACTTAAAAAGAAAACTGCTTTTTTTTCACAACTTTACAAAAATATATTTTTTGTTTAAATACATAATATATTGGTCACTTACTGTTACCAGCTTTACAAACATAAATAAACTGTAACTGTTGTACTTAATTTTTTAAACATTTCACATAAATTCAACCGTAAGCAAAAAATAATTCAAGAAATTCAATTCAATGTACAAAAACTTTGCAATAACACAGAGGGGAAGACACGATACAGGGCAAAATGCCTCACTGTCAGAAAGGGGCAAGAAAATGCTCAGTTAAACTCACTTTTTTATTTAAAAAGAGACAGTAATACAAACATTAAATAACTTACGACTTTAAAGTTCACTGGCACACACGCGAGCGTGTGTTTGTGTGTGTGTGTAAATGCGCACCTACGTGCATGTGTGTGAGCTCCCGTGCGTGAATGCTCTTAGGGTAACCTGTCATTCCCTGAAATGCGTGGCTGAGAGCACAAACAAAACGACTCACGCTCTGCCCCAAAACTATCACTCTGACAATATCACTCCACAGATTCTGCAAAACTAAAATCTATACCATCGTAGTCACAAGAAAAATTAAATGTTTTTATTTGACCCTACCTTCTACATTAAGGTTTTTGGGATTTTTTAAATTTAAAAATTACGTTATTTTTTGTGCCACATGGCAGATATTTTTTTGTTCATGTTTCCTAAAACTGTAACGGATGGGTCACAATAACAGACAAACCATACAAGCCATAAGCTTTATCATTTGCAGAATATTAACAACAACATTTAGTACAAGGAGAATAGGTAAGAGCAGAAAAGGTGTCATTTTAAAACATGTAATTTTTCACCATTTTCAATTTGAAAATATATCCTCCACAACATCTCTATTCCTCCCCCCCTCCCCCCACTTTTATTTCTTTGGCCACATCATACTGACATGCAATTTCAAAGAGTGAAACAAAATACCCTTCTACCATCTTTCTATCACACTGAATCATGGCAAAATAACACCTTTTTTTAGATCTATCATGTGTACACCTCATTATCAAATCACCTTCGTATCTCAAAAGACAGACCCAATCTCATCCAAATCCATACAGCAAGCTGCATGCATTCCCAACATTTGATACTAAATAGGAACCTTCGAATCAATATTATACATCTAGACTGCAACTTTCTAACTTTCTTTCTTTTCTTTTTTTTCCATGGAGTGGGAACAGCGCACAGTAGAAACTGTATCAACCACTTCACTTTACTCTACTTCAGACAAGCTCTTACAATGGGGTTGCATTAGCTGTGTTAATCTGAAAGATGTATCACAATTCACTTTCACTTCCATAGCTCTACAAAAGTTGGGAAACGTTCACTCTAAACATTGAAATTGAATCAGTTTTTATCTAAGTTTTAAAATCACTAAAAGAGGTGCATATATATCTGAACGGTGACAGTGATGCAAATGTGCATGATACATCATATCTGACATGACACTTTGGGAAAGGAATTTTCAAACGGGAAACAGATCTCTTTACTTTATACAGGAGGTAGTTTGCATTGATGACTGACAGAAACATGTCTTAGTGTTATAAACAGACCAAAAAAAAGAGAGAAAAAAATTTTTTTTTTAAAGAAAGGAAACGAAGCTACGATTTACTTTGTGGAGTCTTACTGTCACCTCCCTACAAGGGAAAGAGTGCAAATAATTTTTTTATAACAGAAAAAAGGATGAAGAAAAAACCCATTTATCTCTGGGAGTCTAGTCTTACCCGTCCACCGTATTGCAACTTAGGAGCCGTTAACACACGACCCTGAACATCCATCATTTGTGTGTTGATACTGATGCCGAAGGTTTGGAGATAGGGGTCAGCATTGAAGTTGGCCTTACGGATCTAATTTGGGGGGCAAAAGAAAAAGAGAAGGACCGGCCAGCCATGAAGCAGGCACATGACCGTGGTGGAAAAAAAAATGAATGAGATGAGTGAGAAGACATGAGCCCCTGAGATATTCTGCCGACTGCACAAAAACCTGTGCATATTTCCGGGACAACCAAGTGAACAGTGTTGCCCGCAGCTCTGGAGAAAAAAAAACACTTTGTGATGAGAAATTTTCGCGCTTGAAAGCTGCTGGGTCCAAAAACAGACAAAAGGTCAGAATCTGAAAGAAGGCAGGTTCTTGGCAAGATCTGAAAACTGTCAAACAGTTGGTGAGCAAGATCAATTCTCTCACACAGCTTGCAACGGTGCACATTGTTTCCTTGGCCAATAAGTAAAGCACACGACGGACGCTTTTCCCTACACATCACCGGTTCCTGGGGAATTGTTATTTCCTACAGGAACACCCAAGTAGAGCTACCAACCACACACACACGTTCCGGGGAGTTCTCAAACATGAAACACGTACAAACACAATTTAGTTCGGACCTGTGAAAAACCACACTCATAAACAGACCACAAAAATAACACAAAAGCCACTTGCTAATGTGAGCCCACTCAAAGGAATATTAGTGAGAGGGTGTTTAAACCAAACTTTAAAAAATCAAGGAACTAAACAGATATATAACGAGAGATGACACCAATCAGTGATTATTTAAATGACCCATTGTTCGGAAGATGGTTAAATGTGAGGGCAGAATATGCAATGATAGACACTGACACAGTGGCCATTGTTCAAAATTGGAAAAGGAAAGAAAAAAAACCACATGCAGTATGTTATGGGGAGGGTAAGATTAGGAGGGGTGTAGGTGTGTTGCTGAGTGTGCACTGGAGCAGCGCAAATGCTACGTATGATTAAACAGGTTTCTGTCTCTCTGAATTTCGGAATTACGGATTAAATGTCTTGAATACCACAGTTCTCATTGTAACAAAAAAGAAAACTGTTCATTTGCCTTCCGCGATTGAAGGAGGTCAGGGTCGTCTGGTTTCAGAGGTAAAATTAGCGAGAAGACGGCCGCCAAAGTTTGGTATTTCCATAATCTGAGAGTCTTAGAAAACTGAAAATTTACATTTTTTGGTGCTTTTGATCAATGTTTTTCAGTAAAATCCACACTAAAATGTGTTTTTAAATGGACATAAAAGGTGTTGAGCCAAAAAAAAAAGAAGAAAACTAGAAAAAAATTGCCCACAAACCAAAGAAATGAAGGATTTCTCTGATTTCATTATTTTGACGAGTGCCTGATTTCACCACCATGCCTCACATATTTTAAAAATTCATGTTGGTGTCTTTACACCCCTATCGACTCAATTAAAATCATTTAAGACACAGGCTTCGACTGCTGCCCATCTGGGCCAACTTAGACTGTGAGGGAAACAACATCCGAGCAGAGAGACGAGAACATGTGATAAAAATGTTCCTCAGTCAGGAATCAAACTCGAGTCTCTCGCGCCAGACAGCCAAGTGCTTAACCACTGCACCACAGATGCTGATGAGTAGACATAAGAACAAAAGATGTTTGATAGGAAAGAAGGAGAAAAACAAACTACAAACCATCGCATGCCAACTACCTACAGTTTCCTTTTTAAAATAGTTTAGGACAATTCTCTCACAAAAAAAACAAGATAGTCGTCAAGGACAACACAAGGAAAACACATAATGCACAACACATGCTAATAGGGAGTACAAAACACTCACTTTTTTTAAAAAGCCCTTTTTTGTTGTTGTTGTTGTTTGTTTGACTAAAATAAACCCTAAACATAAGGAAGAGTTGTCAAGTCTGTGGTTTGGTTTTACATAGGCTCCGCACAATGATGTCAGCACTTCTCCAGAAACAGACCCATTCAAAAAAAAAAAAAAAAGAGAGAGAGCAACACTGAAATAAAGTAGACCTCGCAGTATGCACCAAAGCAACCACCAACCACCATCAAGGACATAAGAGCCAGACAAACCATGATAAAACAAAGTTCATATGAACACACACACACACAAGACTTGTAGAGTGCTGAAAACAAAAGTCTAGACCATGAAAGGAGACGGTGAGGTAAATTTTCAAAGAATGGAATTTAAAGATGATGACAAAATATAGTAAGTAAAAGGCTGAGTTTTGCTTAAGTTTTGACCCAAACTGCTAAAAACTAGAAAACAAAAAAAAAAGGTTGTTAAGACTGTCTCTCCTTAACTATTCCACTAGGTTGGTGGGGGGTGGAAATAAGGACTGTACAGAGTTGTTTTACATGGGAGGTTCCAGTGAGGCACATAGCAGGCACAACATGAAACTGAAAACGTGAAAGGAGGAGGAGGATGAAGATAAGAAAGAAGGGAGGCGTGACAAAGAGAATCAGTATCTGGGCCTACCCGGCCGCCGTACTGCAGCTTGGGTGCAGGCAGAACACGGCCTTTGAGCTCAGTCATGTCGTAATTGACACATATACCGAACGTCTTCAGGTACATGTCGTTATTGAAGTCGGCCTTGGTCACCTGTTAGGGAAGGAGCATCCGTCAAATCTCTTGCGCTCATTTTTTCCTTACTCTTAAATCTATAAAGCGAGGGGGTTCTCAACCATGAAGCAGGAGGGAATGCTTTTAAACTTAACAGGTTAACAAGAAATACATACCATTAGCCACTGTTATTTGAAAAAAACTAATACACTAAGTATTAAAACGTTGTATGGCACACATCGATATGGGTCTATTCCCTTTTTAAAAATGTTCTTGATTATTTTAGCAGAAGGACCTGGACCTCTGAATCAAACATCCATCTCCGACAGGATCCAGTTAAGTAGGTATCGGGCATTCAAAACTCTATTAAACAATCGAGATAAAGTTTTGGGATTCAAAATAGGGTCATCCACACTGTGATCCATAGTGATGCTAACACAAAGTTAGCCCTGTGCCCATGTGAATGAATATGTCGTCCTTATCTCTTTGAGCCCCCTAACCCACAGGTATCTTAGCTTGCTTGGTTCGACTGCTAAATTTGCTCCACCGCAAGCTGAAATATACATTGCATGCTCAGAAGGGGAAATGCAAAGTACGCTAGGGCATGAGTTCAGGTCCAATCAAATAAACCGTTGCTGGTAACAGCACAGCAAATAACAGCTTGCATAGCCTTGAGTGAAATTACTTTTTAAGAGCCTGGTAAAGGGTGTGACAAGACAAAAGAAGGTTGAGAACCCTGTATTATTAGCTTTACCCACATACCACTATTTCTTTTGTATTGTTTGCTTTATCTACTGCTCAAGCTTTTTTGAGTTGTATTAACATCATTTTTAAGCACACTTTTGCCTGAAGCAACTAGCTGTCAATTTGTCTATTTGATGTTGATCTTGCCATACTGCTACTAAATCATCGCAAAGATACCAGACTGTGCTTGTTTCTAAATAATGCCTACTCAAAAAAAGTAAAGAATCACACCTGCCAACCACTCCATAACCAAAAACAGGGAGTTTGCCTCAGAATCCTCACTAAAAATTGGGGGGGGGGGATATCGGAGCCTGCAGAACCCCAGTATATTAGATTCCCTTATAAGCTGACTGTGGCAAATGAATGTATATCGTAAATAAACACTAATAAAAATGTATATTTTCACATGACATACAATAAGTCGTGCATATGTCGCAGAAAACCTGTGTAGTTTCATATCATTTACGATAAGATGTGTACCACCCACAGAAATTAAATTCCAGGGAAAAAAATTGGATTTTATGTCAATCTGACTGGGGTTCTTCAACAGGCAAAAGAAAATCAGAGAGCTACGATTTTATACGAGTGCTTGACAGGTCTGAAAAACCAAAACCTACCACGATCACTTGCCAAAAACCTGCCAGCAGAAACACTACACATCCAACAAATGTCAGGATTCTACTTTCATTAACATGGATGGACAACAAGTTAAAAACACAGAAAAATTTTTAATAATAAAGGCTGCAACATCACAGATTGTTTTTTTTAAAAACTGGCGCTGTAAACGAAGACCAATCATCCAATGCCATGACACTCACAACATAAAACTGGGATTTGTTTTTGAAGTCTCATGAAACACATTGTTCTGACTCAAACAATGAACCATTTGTTATTTCCACATTTACAACCTACACACTAATGCCTTCATTTCCTGATAATCCTTGTGCACTGTTTACCAATACATTGCAACAGCTCTACTAAAAGTCTCAAAATCAATTTTTATAAACATTTGAGATGATCAATAGTATACTGATTTGGCTGTGACCATTTCAAAGAAAGTCCAGCCTGCAAGACTTTCACCATCACAAGAACTCTTTCCATAGAATAAACATTTCTGTAGAAAAACAAAATTCCATTACTTCCACCAGTCATTTTCACACTAAAGCAAAACAAAAACAGGATTATTCAAAAAGACACTGTCACACAATAAACCGTATGCATCATAAAATTGATGTCACATATATATAAAAAATCCAAATATTCATTGAAATATGATGAAATATGACATGCAGCCTTCCAATGAAAATAACAGTACAGATATCTGAAAGGAAATGTTAAGTTCATTTTACAGCAACAATCAAACATCCAAGTCATTCGTATCTATTTAGCAATGTACTTGAGAAAACATAGAAGACTTTATCAGATACAAGTGGTAATCACAGAGAATATAAAAGGGGCAAAACGTCCCTAAATTCTGGATCTACAAACATTTTCCTTTTACTTTGTTCATTCATTTCCTATAATAGTAAAATGTTTATCACTAACCCTGCAAAGCAAGGGCAAACAGTTATTCCTTTTTTCAAGCGAAGCAACAATATTCCCTTTTATTTGTTCCTTTTGTTCATCCAAGTCTTATGACTGCACAGGAATATTCTTCTTCTTTTTTTTTTACTTAATTGGTGAAAAATACTATGAAGGATTATTATGGCTTCAGTATCTTAAATATATTGTTTCTATGAATCGCCAGAATTTTGGGGACATTTAATGTTGTTTTTGTTTTGTTTTTAATTTAGAAGAAAAAGAATAAAAACAAACACATAAAAGAAAAATAAGACATAAAGCATAGTTTCAATAACAACTATTTAACTTAGAAACTATTCATTTTTCACTTTGACGTTTATCAGTCTTACACCCAACCATCAGTTTGACCCCATCAAATAAAGAACTAAAATAGTGTAACAAGAAACTGTGTCAAAGACAACAACTTACCAAATTGTTGATTTCTTTCTCTCTGTCTGGAGCTGACCTCGCTGTGGCCTAGATAAAGAAAAGGGAGAAGACTCAGTTTACTCTCATGCTGACACTCACTACAAATTTAATTTGTGCCCAGTCGAAATTCTGTAAGATAGCCACCCATTGTCGAGGAGAGAAGTAACTCTATTTTTAAAATGTACACGAGGGGGTGCGTCTGAACAGCAGTTTGCCTTAAACAGGTGGCCTTTTAGAGCATGCTCAACTGTACACAAATTACTGCCACTTGTTTTCTAGCCATTTTAGAACCGAAAACATTTAATTAAAACATTCTCTTCCTTTAGACAGTTTGTCACTTTGGGAAGCCAATTCCCATACGTCTCAAAGAACTACAGAAAAAGATAAAGACCATGAACATACTGATGACTAGCTGATGAGGAGGAAATACAAAATAGCTGATTTAATGGGAAGCAACAAAATTTAACCTGTCAATAGTACCTATATCAACGATTCAAGGAAACAAGGGCAGAGGTAGGTGTTGCAACAATGATATGTACAATGAAAGAGTAAACATAATCAGCTTAGAGCATTTACAACCAACTATGGTCCACAAATCTTCCACTTAATTGTAACCATAAGTTCACAATTTGACAAATTTAAAATCAATACCAAAGATTTAGGGTTTCTGGCGGGTTTATAGAAGATTTTAAAAAACCACCCTTCTCTGAAAAAAGATGAAAAATAAACTCATTCTCTAAAGAATAGACCAAAGATATACCCATTTGGTGCCATATCAATTATATTCTGTAAATGGGAAGGGCAAAGTTTTCTTTACTCTTCTTTACAATACTTTCACTGCTGTAAAGTCGATAAAGGCAAGGCATCTAATTTTAATGCCTGTCCACTTTAAAACCAAGCTGAGAGGGTGGAGAGCCAAAAAAAAACCTGCCCAAACAACTCTAGTTAAAAAATGCCCCACAAAGGAATCAAAACTGGGCCATCAGCATTATTATAATTTAGCATAACACCACCAACTGAGCTAAACATTGTAGTGTTCTATTTATTAATTCAGATGACACTAAAACAACTATTCATACCTACCACTTGGGATTTATGTGAACAACAGAATCTAGTCCTGTGAACTGACAGCAAACTAGCAAGTATCTAAGTATCTGATCTAACATAAGAAACTTTAAATAACACAGAAAAGAAAAAGGGGACTCAGACTTAAACTCCGCTAGGCAATTTAATTTGAAAGAAAATGTACAAATCTTTAATTGAAAGTCTCATTACCAAAGATTTGGACACAGTTTTCTCTATAAAAATATTTTTAAAACCCCAAAACAAGCGAACTATTAACTTTAAGGCCTTTATTTCATGTACTAAACTTGTAATCTCCCAAACTATCAACTTAACAGTACTACCACTAAACCAACAACATCTTACGGCCTCCATTATCATTCCTTCCACAAGGCACTCCTTTTTTGACAGTCTATGTGCATTTTATGATACTGAGTAATGCTAGGGCTTTCTCAAATGGAAACAGATATCCCCCTTTTCTTTTCAATTTAAAGGACACAAAATGCATTCCTAGGCTGCCAAACAAGTATGGACAACAAGTAGGCCTACATATATTTGTATATATACTAAATGTATACACAGAAAGGTTTGGGAATTGCATGTGCAGAAAGGGAAAACTATGCTAAGTAGCAACCTAACCACAAATGGGAGCGAAAACTGAAAATGAGAACTGAATGTTCAAATAATTGAATGCCATCTTGTCTGAAATGTAGTCACAGCATATGCTCTTACAGTACGCCATGAGTTCGAGGAAAGGACAAATTTATACATTTTAGAAATGTGCATTTTTATCCTAGAAAACTATAGAATTGAGCAATAGATGACCTACAAACGGAAACAAAAAAAAAAAAAAAAAGCAAGGCTACTAGCACCTATCTTCGTGAAGAAGGGGAAACTAAATCTGTTCTACAATTGGAAGACTAACAGGAACCCTTTTTTTTTAACCCATTACCAGCCAATTGGCCAAATCTGATGACAAGCATTGGAACTGTAGCTGCTCTACGCAAGCATGAGGCACTACAGAAAATAGAATAAAGACATACCTGCTTGAGGACAGACCAACAGATTACATATTCTTACAGCAATCCTGACTCTCAGAATCACTAGAATTTCTATCCAAACTATTGTTACTTCTAAATTATTCCAGCATCTCATTCTTACCAGGGTATATTATGTTGATATTGCTTTAAATGTCCATGACAGGAAAATTCTTCTTTGTACACTAATATTAGACAAATTTCTTTCATTTGTCTTTACAATTTTCTTAGTTAATGATCCACTAAAAATGATTAAACACTGTCCATACAAAGAACATAGAAAACGTATTGTTGGACAAATAGTTCGAACAATGCTGCTAAAATATACTCAGGAGTCTAAACAATCTACAAGTTGAAATGAATACAGGTCACCGACAAACAAAACGATATCATGATGACCTTTCTCCTCTCGATAATCCCTCTGGCAATCTACGAGCATGAATACTACTTCTGAGAGTCAGTATTGTATTTAGTGCAAATTTGCAAAGAAAAAAAATCTCTTGAATGACACAAAGGACAACTGAACCAAGTGAGTCGCTATCTGACAAAGCCAGGCATTTCCTCACAGTCAATCTTTGCTGCCGTGATTTGTGAACAGCACAGAGAAAGCAGAGAACTTTTATCCCATTACAATAGAGAAAAGTCATGATAGCCAAGGTGAGATCTGAGAAACGCACACTCATTATTTCACCAGTAACTTTCAGAAGATGTTAGAAACTGACCGACTTGAGAGCGTATTATAGAGTTTGGTAGTTTCTTTTCCACATGGACAAAGAGGGGAGAGAAAAAGATTTTAACATTCCCCAGAACCATTTAGCACAGAAAACTAGAGAATGGGGGGAGAATTTCAAATTTCAGAAAACTTAACAAATAAAAATACCTATATGAGCTGCTTCAGAAATCAGAAGAAGAAGAATAGAAAAAGCCAACATCACAAGTACTCAACATGACTTTGAAATATTCTGTCTTCTCGGGAAGCATTATTCTGTCTTCTCGGGAAGCATACTGTGCATTCTGTCCACAAATCACACAGCGTAGAGACAGAAGCTGAGGCTTTATCTTCTCCCACAATGACGCAGGCTGGGTTTTTTTAAAGATCATAACAATGACACTTTCTTGAGCCAAGGTTCAAGGAAGGGTTAGAAAGTTCTTTTGACACATAACAGCTGCAGCAAGAAACTTCATTGGACAAACTTCAAATTTACTAAGCATGTTTTGTTTATCATAAAAACATCTTCTATGGGCTTTTGGACTAAACACACACAGTTCTGGGTCTATATGAGTAGAAAATGTTTTTGTTCCCACATATCTTGACAAAGCCTCGAGAAAAACTGAAGAAACTTTTTTTATAAAAAAGAAGGGGGAAAAAAAGGGGGGGGGGGGGAATGCAGCCTAGGAATGCATGCTGGGTCAGACAGACGACTCATTTGGGAGACCTTGATCATGGTGGATGTCTGCATGTCAGTCAGCTTCTTGATGCAGCGCTGGCCTCCCACTATGTTACACACCTGTGGATGGAGAGAAGGAAGAAATGTGTGTACACGATGAAGGATGTGCATCCAAACAAAATTGTCCGTTCATTCATTTAAAACAATAAATGTTTAAAATAAAGTGACACGTCAAAGAATAACGCTGTGTTATTCTGGATAAACTATCACACAAGAACTCTCACTACATTTCTCTTTGAATTTTTGTTTTAAAGGGCGAAAGAAAAAAAGGAATCCTTTACAGGACAGACTTAATGATTTCCATATGCCCCTGTATGACTGAAAGACAAATATATTGAAACATCAATCTTAATTATTTTTTAAAATAATAAAAATAAGAGAAGGAGAGAAAAAATAGGGCCAGAATTGGAAACAACCTGGCCTGGAATGTCCCATTATATTTTACTCAGGTTCAATCTAGTAAAACCAGTCACACCCCCCCCCCCCCCCCCCCCCCCTTCTGTAGGCCATAATAGAAAATCCTGAAATATTCTTACTAATTTACTGTGCTTACCTCGAGAGGCAGATATGTGTGTTTTTGTTCCTGCCCCACTTGAAGACAAGGCAAATGTGGATGTCTGAGGAGGATTAAACATAAATTAAATACAGCTTATACAGTTTAAAATCATTTTCAACCAAGACCAAAACCTTTCTAACATTCTTTGAAATTGTCGAGGGTCTGTATAATACCTGACTGAATCAGTTCAATATTTCAGAAGGTAATACTAAATAAAGGAAGTAGTTCTTCAGTTTGGATAACAAAATCTTACTTTCACTGACTTACTTACACCAAGCCCCTGGTCACTCCCAGCCCTAAAAAATGTTCCTCTTTAATTCTCAGATCAGTCATGGGAACCCTGGAGCTTATGCAGCTACATTGTTATTAGCTTGATACTTTTCTCTTGTTTATTCTTCATACAGCGATACTAGACATCTTCTAAAAGGTCGCAAAACACCTCCTGAAGCCCGGAAGAATTTTGACTCCTTCTTGACAAAAATCATTGGGTCACTGTTTTCTATTAGGTATTCCATTGCCCAATTAGCAATATCATTGTGCATAAAGATCACAGATATCTCTCTGGCTGTGGGAGGCCCATTTCAACATCTGATACTTTTGTCGCTCTTATCAACCCACAGCAAATTATGGGAGAAATTACTGGATTCAAACTCCCCAACTTTTTAGTAAAGAAACAAAAACGCTCAATCATTGTAGAATAAAGTCCTTACCCTCAGTCCGGTGCCTACTAAAAGAGAAGCTTTGGGGGACAAAAACATCTTCAATACTCACTGTAATTTCATTTTGTACTTTTCCATGAAGTAGCGAGCCACGGTGCATTCAATTGTTTGACCAGTGTTTAGTTGTAAGGGGAATCTAAATGAAGAGAAGCAAAATAAATTATTACCTAAAAAGTATAAACGCAAGGAGGTAAAGAGAGAGATGGAGATGGAGCGGGGGAGGGGAGGGAGAGAGAAAAACAAAGAGAGAGAGAGAGACAGAGAGTTTCACAGCATCAAACACAGAATAACCGTGCTAATTCTACAAACTCACCCAAGAAATAATCAATGTGTTTTGCTATACTTATCTCTAGACTAGATGACAAAATTTCACAACTCAAGACACGAAATAACCACATTGTTCTTCTACACTCATCTCTACATTAAAACCTCACAGTTCTTTGCATGAAAAAATCAAATTGTTACTCTACACTCATGTCTTCATAAAGATTCACAATTTGAAACAAGAGGTAATCAAATTTTTCCTCAACATTCATCTTTCCATGAATGACAAACTCCCGATTCTAAACAAGAAAAAATGCAAATTGTTCCACAATACTTTTCTCTTCATCCAAACACAAAATAAGAAAATTGTTGCTTTACACTCATCTGTACATGACAAACTCACAACCACAAACCCAACAAAAATTTTGGAAGCAAAATGTTCCCCTACACTCGTCTCTACATGAAGACAAACTTACGATTGCGTTTGAGCAGGTCGTCTTGTGACGTTGCATACTCTGTACTTGCGCCTCATCGTACCACAGTGGGTGATTTCCACTTTAAGACCTGATTTATGGTGAGGGGAGGAAATCACACAAATCAAACAATTGAAACCATCGCTTTATCACTCAGCATATTAAGTGAATAAAGAATCAAATCAAACCTGGGTTCTAAATTCTAAGCAGCTATAATGGCATATTAAACTGATATGAATTATTTATTCATTTTTCTTTTAAATACAGCAAAAGTAGGGTCGTACATACAATGGCTAAGGAACAAATCAAGACAAATTTTTTTACCCCAAAGCTTTCAAAGTATTCTAGTCTAAACTCATACCAAAACATTGCTGTACTCATCGACATCAAGAACATCCTACAGCATTTAGACGGCATAAAAATATTTACAATACATAACCAGAGAGAGAAGTACAAACAACCAAATTGGAAATCACCTCCACTCTAGTGAGCATATAATAAAGCAGAAGAACTAGCAATCTAACTCTGCATGGTCAGAAAAACGGAAGTGGTGAATAAACATCAAATTCAATTATGGATCACACAAAAATAATATTTTAGCTATTTTATTCCTTGACTGACATGCAATTTCCTAAAATCTTGGTGCCTTTAAAAATAATTACCTTTGATTTCTTTCGTAAATTTGACTCGTTGTGAATCTGCCAGAGGCCGCTTCTGTTCGCTGATATCTGGCAAATCCAGCACTTCACACATAAACTCAATAACTGGTTGTTCTTTGTAGAAGGCAGTGGCAGACACTGAGGACAGAAGGGGAAAAAATATCCTTGAAAACACACAAATTCTCAATCATTGATTAGACTTTCATTTAGAAAGCTGCAGTAGAAAGAGAAAAGCCAGCCTGATGCATCACTTTCTGCAATGTAATTACTTTGTGTAAAACAACAACAACCCAAACAAACAAAATAAATAAAAATTGCCAACAGGAAAACAACAGAGGTATTCCAAGGTTTGCTTTACCATACCCAGGTAACTTCCTCAATGAGATTCAACTTTACCCTCACATTCACAAAGCACGAGTAATGGATCAAACCCTCAAGTGCTTTACTAATTTCATATTTTTAAAATTATTCTTAAAACTTAGAGGGATGTCCACAATTTAATAGCAGCAGGACTAACAAAACCCCCCTACAAAAAAAAATGATAGGCCACAAAAGTCCAAAAACAGATTTTTTCATGACTCAGTCTGACAGATTCGACCAATTAAAGTGTAATGACCACAAAATGGCTCCCTTGGCTCCCTGGCTTTCAGAAAAATTTATATCACACCTAACTTAGTTTAATGAAGTACAGTTGATAAATAACTCACCATCGATGTTCAGCATCATTTTCCAGTGGGATGGTCGCACAGACTGATGGAAACCAAACCATACCTCTCGCCCACCTCCAAGCGGGTGATCATAACCCTCTGGTGGTGAGAAGAAGGAGCGGCCCACAGGAGTATAGCTGCAAACATAAGAGGAAGAGGGAAAATGTCAACACTACAAATTAAAACTGAATTTTTTTTCTAGGGCCACAACAACCATGGGGTTGCGGTTTTTTTTCATGTTTAAGGACTGGTGGAAAGTCAGACACATTGTCACATTGCATTAGGCATGATATGACCAAATAGAAAAATCAAAGAAGAAAAAGAAAAAAAGAGGTCTTCACTGTCATGACTCGTAGCTGCTGCCTGGTTGTCTGTTCCTTCTGCTAGTATTACTATCTTTCTAATCTGCTAATGGTGAAACCTGGCTTCCTGATTTGTTGAAAAATACAGTTCTATTTGGCTCTACTTGTACAATTGTCTGTAAGCTTTATTTTCTTTGTCTCATAATTTCAAATTCACCACTGCATTTATGTTGCGTGTCCTTGGTCAGGTTGTTTTTTTTAATGGCAAACTTGATCCAGATTGCCAACCTTTTCAAAACCTAATCTGAGACACCCAATAGCTTTTTCGTTTTTGAAAGAGTCTAAAGGCACTTGTAACACAAAAAGACCATATAAGTGCCGAAGAACAGGTGTGTTATAAGGGAGTAACAAACACAAAAAAGAAGGAGAGATAACAACGATAGATGGTTGATAGGAAAGAAGGAGCAAACCACACCACAGCACCCTCCAACCACCCAATCCCAATGGTATGTCATAAGATTACTAACAATCAAAATTCCATCATCAAGTAGGACTGGTTTTGGTTTAATGTATGTGAAATAGCCCTCAAATCTCCGATTGCTGAATCCAGGACAGTCATGAGACATTCGGGACAGTTGGCAAGCCAGTTAGAAAGAACTGAAAAAAGAGTCTTTCTATCGCACAAAGCAACACATCACGGTACAAGATATGGGTTTAACGACCCAATATCATATCATGACCCAGAACCTCCAAATTTATCCCCCATATCTGACAGGACTAAAACAAATGGGCAGAGAACATTGAAAATTGTAAACAATCTAATTTCAATAAGACCCTGTTGGGGATATAAACCAGTCTTTTTGACTATGGTCGCACAGAACATCAACCGGGCAGCCAAAACACCTGTGAAGGAAGACACAACTCGCAAGCCTCCTCGAAAAACAAAATAGGTGTCAACCCATGCATAACAGCAGAAAACAGCTCTTACGTTTTGCTTGGAAGGTGCCTCATGACTACGTCTAGGGCCTGTATAGCGTCCATGGGGATCTGTCGGGTACGACCTTCCAGCGCCTCCTCTAGAGCGAACAGGCTGACCTGACCCACATAGCGGACGGCAACTTTGAACACCCTGTCCCGACCCTCCCCTGGCAATGTCACTTCCAGTTCAACCTGAAAAGAAAGAAAACAGGAAGCAGTTTTTAAAAAACACATAACAAGATAAAACAAATCGAAAACTTCAAAGTTATGCTGGTGTACTTAAACAAACTCTCTACCCACAAGAAGAACATTGACACCTTCTGAGTTCGGTCAAAGACATGAAAATAAGTGAAGGGAATTTAAACAAAATTTTTTTAATGTAATAAACAAAATAACAACAGTGAAAAATACCCCGAACAAACAAAGAAATTCAAAACCTTTGATTAATATTCCAAAAGAAAGGGAAGAGCTGAATGGAGGGATTCCGATGGATGAAAAAATACTACGTGCAATTCTAGGTGAATGAACCATGACACTTATATCAATGCCGATAAGCACACCACAACTTCAGAACATACCTTTTCTGTTCCCACTGGAAGAGGTTCCCTACTGTACAAGTTTTTCCTTCCGTCAAAGACAGGCTTCTGGCCCTGGAAGATCTTCTGTTGGTAAGCAGTTACCATTGTGTCGATGATTTCTCTGTAAAATAGACGAGTTTTTAAGTCAAACATCGGCCACAACCAGCATAAATGACAATCAATATCAGAGTTGCCACTCATCAAGGAAAATAAATTCCCTGGGTTTTAAAAAAATGTTCAGGTTTTCACCTGAATTGTGTTTTTTGTTTTCTTTTGTTTCAGTAAGTTTTACAGCACTTGCAACACAATAAGGTCACATAAGTGACCAAGACTAGAGGTTTGCAAGCGAGTAACAAACAAACAAAAAAAAAGGAGAGACACAGATATTAGATAGGAAAGAAGAAGCAAACCACCAACCACCTGCTACCTGGATTTTGTAACCATATTCAATGTGATTGGATTTTTTTATACAAAGATGACAGAGCAGAGAAAAAGAAATGAAGGAAAACGCAAGATTTGAAAAGATAAAGGCTGAACTGACCATTCAGCAAAGTGATCACATGAAGAAAAATTTTCCGAGAAGCCCGCTACATAGAGCACAACACCACTGATATAGTATTATATGAGGCACATCTAGAGAACCCACAGCCACTCACTCACCTGTTGACCCTGCGCGGGCACTTGTCGGGGGAGATGTTCACCTCGTAGTGGTGGATGATGCCCTTGGGCACGCGCACCTGGAAGTGGTTGGCCCGCAGCGAGATGGAGCGGCCCTCGGTGCCCGTGTTGGGCCGTGGCGGGGACACAAAGTCGGCCTGCTGCACTGGCGGCACCAGCGACTCCTGGGGGACCTGGCCCTGGGCGAAGGGAAGGGGCGGGGGCTGCTCTGTCTGTGTGAGGGAGGGCGTGATGGGCGTGGTCACGGGTGGGGGTGGGACTGGCGGGTGGACGGACGGGCAAAGAGGAAATATTTTTGTCAGATTATCGTCTTTTCATATTTTTATTTTTTTATTTTTTCAGAGCAACATGACAAAGTACCTTACTCACCCTTGTCGTTACAAAAAAATAAAAGGATATTAACTTGACTAAAACCTCATTGAAAACACAGGGAAAAACTTTGTGTTTTATTGCACTATATTACAATACAGATTTGTTGAGAATTATTTAATAAATTTCACACTAAAGTCCACTACATGATATATTTGAACAGAGGAAAGGTTCTTAACTTTTCTTTACTGTCCAAAGGTTTACCTGTAAACTTAAGAAATATTGGAATTCACTAAATTTGAGTAGAAGATCATTAGTCAAGACAAAGGGATCTACCTTCACTAAAATCAAGAAGGGGTGGACATGACAAATAAAAAAAAGGGTAGACCTATTAAACTGAAAGAAACGGGCTTTCTTTTTTAACTACAAATAAAACATTTGATTTTAACATTTTCAACATTTCTGCAAAGTATTAGACTAATCTAGTCTGTTCACAATAAACAGCAGATTTGAGTTTTCTCTCAGAAGGAAAAAAATCCGCCATTTATTCAATTGTGACCATACATGATACATGAAAGAGGGCTTTCCCCTGGAAAGAAAAACCTGTTGAGTTGTCGTTTATTATAGTAAATCTGCAGATGATTAAAGATAACATTCCTTCCAGAACAGACAAACTACAAAAATATTAACACTGGAAAGAAGTAGAAGAAAGAGCAAGACCACACCAGGACATCGACAGACCTCGAACGGACAGTTTGGTAAGAAAGGAATAAAATAAACAGACCATTGGACTTCGTTCATCTGTTTGTCCGAATCAACACTGACAATTAATTAATAGTCTGTGAAACCACAAGGCTACTCATCAGTTTCAGTTTCAATAGCAGTAGACAGAAACAGAACGCATTATTAGTGCTCTCAAAACCATATGTGCACCCTCTTGGTAAAAGATTTGAGTTCACTCAAAAACATGAGGAAGGATTGAGTCCAAAGTAACAACCAACACATCAGTCCACTGTACATAACACGGAAGAGGTCAAAAGTGAATACACAGATTCACAGAACAACACGAAAAATACACGTTTAACGCATGTGAACTTGTACTAAAAGGGGAACCCATGCACAAAAACAAATTTACATGGACATACATCAACACCTTTTAAGTCCAAAAACATATAAATGCACAAAAACATGACATTCATTCCATTTCATACCATCCTGAGCTTGCATCCCAGGAAATGGAAAATGAAGACCTGGTTGGCCTGAAGGAGAAAAACGAAAGGGAAAAAAAAAAACACCAAAAAAAACATAGTGAGTCTCGCTATCACTGATATTATCCTATTTACTTCTGTCACAATATTCTCAACAAAAGGTGTGCAAAAACATCTACCTTTTAAAAAAAATTCAAACAACATCAAGGAAAACAAAACATAATGACACACACACATCTCTCAGAGGGCTTTGGACTAGGACAAAAACAATGTTGATATGAGTGGTCAGTATGGTAGTGGCCACATCTTACTGGGAACGCCACATCTTACTGGGAACAAATTAGTTTTTATGGTAATTAGTGTCAGGGAAAAGAAGGGTAGATGAGGTGCATCAAACCAGACCCCACCACTGCCCACGAATATATAAAACACAAAGATGATAAATCTTAAGACAAAAAAATTGTTTTAAATACCACACAACAAACCATGCATCCCTGCAAACACAGGGCTACATAATGCTTACAAATATTTTGAGACCAAACAGACAGTGCATGGTACACAAGTACTATCTAGTACTTTTTTTGCACATGTTTTCAACTTTCCAAATACTATTGTAAACACAGCAAAACACAAGAGACATTAATTATCAGAAAACAGACAATTGCAAGACTATAGTTTTACTTAATTAAACACACAAAAAGAACATTTAACTTGCAAAGAATAAAAGCATGAGCTTCAGAATAAAGAGTCCAAGCAAACACCTCTCGTTATGAAAAAGGTGTTAGAAAGCGTTAGTGGTTTAAACAGCTAGTAATGGTAGGAAGTCTTAAGAAAGAGGAATCTGTAATTTGGAATCTATCTCTGACAGGACCCCACCTATCAGGTGAAAAATCATGAAACATTTTCGCACATAGCAAGTTCAGGAATGCCCCAGTCAGGGAATCTGAACCATACTTATCCTCAAAGTAACCCCAGCATGATAACTATTTTGTAAAGCACCCAAGTAACAATGATACGTCCTGTTGTTTGATACAATTCCTATAGCAATATTATAAATGTTTGGAAAGCGCCCCGACTGCATTTAATTACACTGATTTAGGCGGTGGGGGGGGGGAGATCCCCACCTCAAGGATAATAAATAAATGATTCGAGATGAGTTATTTTCATATTGTCAGCCTGTGAAGTTCTAAATTGAGCACACTTTGAGGCTGATGTTAATCCTTTGTCAAAAAGACAATCAAGAACTTCTTGCAATCATCAAAATAAGAGCAAAGAAAAATAAACAATGAAACAAACAACTGGAGAAAAAAAAAGGGTAGCGGTGGAAATCATAAGGAAGAAAAAAATTCTAAAAACTCAAAAACCTCAAAAGAGGATTAAAATTTGCTTTTACAAAAAAAAAAAAAAAAAAAAAAAAACAACCCTGCGATTGTTTGAAGAAGAAATAGAAAAACAAGCTTGAGGGGACTTAACCACTAAAGGCTTGTTAAAAAAACGTTTTAAAACAAGACAAATAGAGACATGCTCTACATGTCAATAGCTTAAGCTGCTTAACACTTCAAGCCATGTTCCCCTGAGCCTACAAGACCAATCCACCTAAGCTCCTGAAGGACAACTTAATTTCTACTACCTCACACTGAGGTAGATGTGTCGTGTGTAGAAGGGTGAAGGTAACACACTCAGGTTTGTTTGCTTTTAGCAAGCGTTTTATGGCACTACTTGCAACACAATTAGTTCATATCAGTGCCGAAGATTAGAGGTGCTACAAGAGAGAAACAAACATAATAAAAAAAAGGGAGACAAGGACGATAGATGTTTGATAGGAAAGAAGGAGCAAACCACATAAGAACACCCGCCATCCACCCACACAGTAAAATTTATTCTCAGGAACACACTCCCTTTCAATCCGTCTAGACATTGATGAGGAGGCAAAAATAGCCAACAGAAAGTCACACTAGCCTAAAAAAAAATTTATGCTAATGCACAGCACAGATGTGTACCCGCAAGTGTGTGTGAGCAGTAATTGAGACAGTACACTAAATTACAATTTCAATATGTATAAAATGTTAATCTTAAAGGAATTTTCACTATACATTTGTGAGAATACGAAAAAGTAGAAAAATTGTCAAGTAAAAGTTTTTATGTTTTGCTGTTCCGACAAATATTTCCTTGGAAAGAGCTACAAAGTCGATCAATCCAAAGAACAGACTGACTACCAGAGCACATGTAGGAACTCAAGGCAATTTAAAGAAAAATAAAAGTAACCGAGTTAGTCAATGAATGTACACAAACAAGTGAAACAACTAAATAAATGGGCAAGCACGTAGCCACATACATAGCAAAGGCGTCTGAAAGGATTGCTTCTGCATCTGCCACAGATCACCCTTTTTTTTCTCTTCTTACGTATGTCATTATCCTACCAATTATCACCTGACAAAAAAAGTTCAAATATATATTATCAGCTCTATATTCTCGGTGCGTAACAATTTCATTGATTTACGAAAATTAATCAAGTTTATCCAAAAGTACAATTTTCCATTTTTTCTTCAACTTGAACAATTCACTTTTAAGGATATAAACTGCACCAAACTGGACTATAATATTACATCTCTCTTCATTTCATAGCTATGAAGAAAACAGTTATTTTTACCAATTTGTCAACACCAGTATCTTTTGAAGCTAGAAGAACAAATAATGTATTATCAGTAAGAAAGAATTGTTAAAAATAAACATATATTATACAAATTTGATCAAGTCACATCTTAGCACGAGCAGTCACAGAGAAAACCCTTGTACAAAGCGTTAATATTGCCCAAAAGCTCTTCCTTCCTTGATCCAAACAGGGTGAGAAAAAAAAGCATGCTGTGGGGCATGCTGTCAAAATAAAGATTCATAAAAGCAGCTGAATGTGAAAAAAGCATAAAGACAACACAAGGGCTGGAGCGGTGAATGGTAGGAAAATGGCAGGGAAAAAGACAGCTGAACAAATATGTGTCATAACGCAGTGGAATCAGGCGCTCGTCAATTTTCTGACATGTGGAGATATTGGTATCACCTGATTTATTCGACTTGCTTCCAATTAAATAAATATGCATCTATTTTTAAAAGAACTCAAGATATTTGCGACTGAAAAAAGGGAGGTAGCCTGGTTCCAGTAGTGAAATTAGCGAGAAAATGGCAGCCAAAGTTTGGTAACTTTAATAGCTAAAGAGTCCTAGACAACAGAAAAATGACATGTTTTGAGCATTCGATAAAAAAGTCCAAACTTTCGGAAAAATGCCCTTTTCTCAGATTTCTGTATTTTGACGAGCACCTGATTAAACCACGCTGTCTCACATATATTAATTCAAATAGAGCCATGCTACGAGAAAATATCAATACTAGCAATCTAACGCAATCACTGGTACAACACTAACAACCCTCCCTCTCTGCTTCACTTTCAAATAATATATATTAACCAGTCAGATATATACAACTTCCATGACATTCCAGATAGGAGAAAGAGTATGACCTTTATTACTTTATCTTTTTTGCACTGCTTTTGGGTATGAATAGGAAAAATGTAATGAAGCATCAGAAAGAATGATCAGAAATTTAGCCCAAAAGTTTCAAACACTTCAAACTCTTGCTTATAAATTGAAACAAACAGTGTAACCCTTCCAACAAGGCAAACCGAAATATTACTATAAATCAGAGATGCTAGGTACACAGAATTCCCTAAAATGCATGATTAAGTGGACGTACTTGTAAAATCAAATACAACAGCAAAAAAGAGTTGCTGCTACACCTGTATTATATATTCACTAACATGTAGCTTAAAAACTTTCTTTTTACTTTCGGTGTGGCACTTTTGCATGGATTTTTTAAATTTCATTTTTCGGGAGCATACTCACTTCCAGTCACTCAAAAATATTTTCATACACGACACTCATTTCACAGATAGCGTCTTAAAAAGGTATGAACATCTGACAGTGATTCCTCCCTTTTATGTTTTTTTTTTTACTTTAATGTATTTTTATGCCCCCTTTGATACAATTTAGATTATTTTAAGGAGGCAGGCTTCCAGAAAGGGATGCCACATCCTAATAAAAAGACTGAAATACTTGATAATTTTTTTTAATGATAAAACTTCTACCCCCTCTGGAATTGAACTTGGGTCTCCTGCCTGTGACAGCCAAGTGACTTACTGCTCAATCACAGACGCAAGTTCAAGTTCTGTATGCACCAATTGAAAGCTGAGCTTCTAGGTTCCAAATAACCTCCCCCCAGATCCCACGTTATATTTTGATACCTGACTTAAATTGCTCTTCTCTCAAACCCTATTACATTATTGTTATAATATATAAAAGTAAAACTTTTTTTGTTCCAAACCAATTGGGTTTTAAAAGCTCCCAACCCCTCAAAAAGGAACCCCGCCAAACCAAGCAAGCACACCAACATAATCACAGACCAGACATAGCAGAACTGTGCAGCTGGCTGTCACTGCACATACACCCGCTCTGACCAGAGACTACATGAATTTCTGCCGTTCATGCATTGTGGGGAATACAGCAGACCAGAACGAACACTTTCATAACTCAAAGGAACATGTTGGACAACACTGATGTGTGTTTTTTGTCTGGGCAAAAAGAACCATAAACCAAATGTGAATCTGTGTGAGGAGAGGAGCGGTCATCTCCATAATCATGGCATATCCCCTACAATATAGTCTTCTCATCCTTAACTACAATGATTTTACCCAATTTATCTTTTTTACATCAATAGAAGTAAGCTGTTTATTATAACTCAGCTCTACAAGTTCAAACAAAGCAAATGCTATTTTCAGGGATAATCAATCATGAGAAGACATCCCCGGTCAATTCTTAAAAATGATGTTCGCAGCTATCCATTCATTGAAGAAGAAATAACAATTACTCACAGTTCTACTTCCATTGTTATTATAATCATAATTAGCAATGAGGTAACCAAACCTTGAGATATCAATTTTATTTTGATCATTAAAACTTCCAAATAATGAAGTGATCAAACTTTAGATATGAAAATCATGTTCACCTTTAAGACTCTAAAGTATAACAGTCTGTCTAACCATTGTCAAACTGTCAGTCGTCTGACCTCTATTTGATAAATATCTTTCTCTCAATCTCATTTATGTCCCAAAACTTAACAAGAGCAATGAACTTGTATCTAGTATACAGAAAAACATAAAATATTGAAAAGGTGAAAAGGAGGGGGGGGGGGTGTTGTAATAAGCAAGAAATTAAGCCTGCCATCTACCTCATAACCAACATTCATTTTAAGTCTGGGTGCATTTGCGTATGGAATTCACAGAAAAGTAGTGCCAAACTGCGACAGACATTGGGAGAAGTACAGGGTTTGAACAGTACAACAAGAGGGTGGCAAAGGATGAAACAGTTTTTAGCAGCACTTGTTATCTCTCCCCTCCATACGAATTTCATCTTGATCAAACAACATTTAACGCAAAGGAGATGACTTTATTTTCTACAACAGCAACAAAAGAGAAGAAATAAAATGTTGACACTTGTTCTCTAATGGACAAACAGACTTTCAAAAACAGCAACAAAGTTTTTCATCTTCTTCTATCTACCTGTGTTTGGGCCAAAAGATAACTGAAAGTAAACTATTGGCACTCTACTCTCTACTTGAGGAAGGATCGACAAGAATTTCTGGTATTCTATTTTCTACTTGAAAGATGTTGCAGCACAGATTCACAGTACCCACAGAGAAATGAACTGTTAATCATGATCCGTATTAATACTGTTATTGTTACTGAACTAACATTTGTGTCAGAAATATACAATAAGTGGTAAAAACAAAACAAAAAAGGAAAACACAGAAATTTTGTTTCATACGTTCACTTAGGTCAGTGGGGTCTCTTAGGCCATTTGAAAGAAAGGATTAAAACAAAATTTGGAAATCAAGAATAGAGAGGAGACAGGAAAGCTTCAATGGATACCTACCATTTCCTAAGTGAGCTCCCAAGAATGAGGGCATGCCTTGGCCTTAAAAACAGAACAAATACCCAAGCTTTATTTTTCTGAAAATTGGCGGTGAGGACGAAAACAGTTTCAAGGCCATGACCCAGAAATTACGCTTCTGGGAAATTCCCACACCTCCTCTGCAAAAACCTTGATCCAAAACTGCTTTCGTTTCAATCAACAGACAAAACAGTTCATAATTATTATTATTGCTGCAACCTGAGAGAATTGCAAAAACCCTTTAAAAAATTCTCAGTTATTTGCATATCAACGTGACAGTAATACTACACTAATATTAAAACATCAATGAACCAGGCCTACAGGTTTTAACAGAATGATGATATAAAAAGAACTAAAACAATGGCCTCGCTCATACCACAAGGTAGAGTGGCCTGCTTGAGCACTGCACTGCAAACACTAAGTTCTAAAGACCCTGCACTTATAGTTTTTTTCCACTTACCCCTAAGAGACAATCAGGACCCTATTTTTACTTACAGAGTAACTTTCCATTGAACAAGATTATCACACTGCAAACATTTGGACTCTCAACAAAAACATGCTACTATGCAAAGGCAAGAACAAAATGAATGCTCAGAGTTACTCAAATTTTAAAACATTATTTTTATCAGGACATTGGTTAATCAAAGCAGCAATGAAAAGCAATAGAGAAACCTAACAGGCACTAACTGGTTTCTAATCTTCAAATAGCCAGCCTGTCATCAATCCAACTCTAACAGATGTCAAAGACTCACAGCTTTACGAAGGTAGACACACCAATGGCAAAGATAATGATAATACAGAGTCACTCACAAACACCACAACAACGAATCCACTATCATAAAATCAAAGGATGAGACATAGCGCCTTTCACAAAAGTTAATACTGGCTGTGAAGCATTACTCTCTGCATAAATCCATACTGGAAGCAGTGTGCTCATTTTGCCTAGGCATGGACACCATTTAAAAACACCAACAAAATTCCATAGGACGAGGAAAAATAAAAGAATGTTTGCCAGCAAAGCATACGTGTGGAAATAAATATTATTCAAAACATTTACGATAATAAATTGTAAGTACCACCAACGAAAGCAAATTTTTAAAAGAGAACAAATAAAAGGGCAGGGAGAATTATCTTTCCAACTTTAAAAAAAATAAAACGTGCCTGAACCTCCAATAAAAAGAACAAAAATACACAGGAGAAAAGAAAATTCATATCCAAGCACTCTGTGCTCAAACAGAAATTAAAACTATGAATACACACAATAATTTTATTCAAACAAAAAATTGAAGACAGAACGTATAAAAAGCTATAACAAAATATTCTTTCCTGTTCCTTTTTTCAGGATTAAAAAAAAAGCTGTTACGTATATTTGACTAAGATTTCAATTAAAACTGAAATCAAAATCTTAATATTTTATGATACTACTCTTTCAGCATACAATAAACTGAACTGTTTCAGTAACAAATAAGAGAAATACATATTTAAAAACAAAAAGAGAAAGAACAAAAAATCACCCACAACAACAAAAGAAAATATAAATCCTTTATGAAGGCATAAGTAATAGTATTCTATGAGGAACATAATTTATCTGCAAAAAGCTCCCTTTTAAAAAATTCTTAAACCCAGATAGTTCTTGAATTTCAACGGGCAAAATGCCCCTTCAATGTCTGCGGCTACAAATATATGCAAAAACTCAAAATACCTTTATGCTTATGAGGTCCAGAAAGATTCTTTTTGCCAACCTCACAACAGTAAATAAATGATCTTTCCCCCTACTGTTACTATTGCACTTCACGATAAAAGGAGACCACCGCCTTGTATTACATCAAGCTAGTAGTACAACCTACATATTTAATGACCAAACTAACATTACAACATTTAAAAAATAAAAAAAAACTAACTCAAGACTACCGTCAAGTTCAGCTAGGACACAAAAGAGTGAAATGCAAGACAAATGACTGATTACACCTTAAGTTAACATACAACAAATGTCCGTTACTCAGAAAAGATCAACAAATAAAATCAACTGTCAATAGTAAACAAACAGAAAATGTTTTACCACAAGATTACTTCAGTTAAAAGCCACAAGAATTCATTTGTCTAGTAGGAAGTTTCTGTTACTTTGAAAGAAAGGTAAAAAAACAGGCACACAATATCCTCCCACACCAACACAAAAAAAAACACAAAAAAAAAACATGGGGAAACTTTAATAAACGAAATAACTAAGATAATTACCAAAAGAAGGGGCTCAAAACTCACCAAAATAAATTCAAAACCATTAACTATCAGGGGAACTCAATACTTAAGTTTAAGATAGAATTAAAGATTACATTACATTATGCTGTCTTAATCTCCTCTATAATCATAATGTAATATACCCAAATTGAAGCCCCTGTTCTATACTGTCACAATGGTCAAATCCAACTATCATTCCCTACAATACCCGCTAAATGTGTCCTATCCAAGCCCCTTACTAGTATAGAACAAGTAATACAACAAAAATTGTCGCTGGCACAAGCAATCCATTTAAGTCAGAATTTTGAACATTTTCTATTTTTATTTTTTACATTCAACATTCTCTCAAAGCTCTGACTCTTTCTGCAGCCTTTCAACTGCTTCTCCTTGGCTCCTTCTTAATGCTGTCTTTTAGCCACACTCACACCCCCGATCTTATGGTAGGTAAGATCTACACCAAGCCTTCTCGGACAAGGACGAAAAATCCTGGAGGTCCCGTGTGCAAGTTGCACCAGTTAAAGATCCCTCGGTGGTCCAAAAATCGAGTAGGCTTCAGCCGCCAACCGGGCAAAATTCAAAATTTCCTACCAACTGAAAATGTTTGGTGTGTCCCGCAAGCTCATATGACCCTATGCAGTTGCGAGCACCATGAAACTTTTACCCCCCCCCCCCCCCCCAAGCTCTCAAACATGCAGTTTTCAACAGGAACAAAATGCAGTTATGCTATGGTCAAGGTTTACAATTTGTTTTCGTATCATACGATTCTTGATAGGAACGACACAACAAAACTAGTTGGGTTTTTTTGTCTCCACCGTTTAAGTACACAAAGAGACACAAGTGGATTGCTTGCGACATCGACAGAAGTCTCCATCTTCAGGGAACTCCTTCACAACTATATTTGCCAGTAGGCATTTAAAAACAATTTGAACTTTCATGTTCTGAACAAAAACAAAAACTTTTGTTACAAGTGTAAACATCCCAGATGGTTCAAACTGAAGAACAGAATCATCAAGCCTTGAAAGAAAACAAAGGACCTACCAAAGGCATGTAAGTTTTATACACATAAAAATACCAACAACCACTTTTCATGAAGGCTTATGACTTTTGAAGACAGTCGCTGGGAGGGGGATCAACAAACTCATACCAGTAAACTTGCTTACCTGTCGGAGGCTGGCCATAGCCGCCAGGCCCTGAAATGGAACAGAACAGAAAATACCATTTAATCATTGTGACATCAGAGTTCAAAATACATTTTTTTTAAATTTAAAGAAGAAAAATATATCTGGTGAAGAGTTGATTGCATTCTCCGGCACAACACCCTCAACTCTCCTGATTTTTTCAGGTCGGGGGCATGCCCCTTTGAAACCCTGAATATCTAGCTATATACAGTTAGACCTTGTAAAATAATTTAAATAAAAACCATTAAATATCTCAACACACAACTAGTAGGCCTAATTTGCGGGTCATACTAAAATGCGAAAAAAGACGCGATAAGGCACGAAAAAGCATCTGATTTGTGTCCCTTCAGACTCATTTTCAGGGTTACTTTGATCAAAATTGGGGTAATCCTTACCATCTATGGTCCCAAAAAGTTTGTTTATACTAGAGACGGGCGGGAAGCACTTTTTTCTTCCCAAGCGAGAAGACCGAAAAGCTGACCTACTCTCGCCGGGACCGGTACTACCAGTCCTAAGAAGTGCTTCTCATCTCGTGACCAATTTTTCTTCTCTCGCACGTTGGGCGAGTAGCTCACTCAGCGAGAAGGCCGGCCGTGGCCGGGATCTTAAACTAGGCTAGCCTTGTTGCGCATGCGCAAGCAGTGAAGGAAGGTAGGGGGACCTAGGCCTAGGCCACGGAGGTTATACAGTAAGGTCCTTGGCCTTAGCCTGAGCCCCACTCGCCTCGCCACCCTCTTCCCTCCCTTTCAGTTTCAGACACAGGATGGCACGGTGAAGGGTAACACTGTCTGCGTGCCAGTTCTCACTGGTTGTGCCGCTCTTTCCGTAAACACCTCTCACTCTCATTACTCGTTGTGTCAAACCAACGAGCGGTATCACTTCTCGGTACCGGGCAGTAGTTTAGTTGCCGGGAAGCGACGGGAAGGGCATTTCTCGTGAGCAACGAGTACTCGACTCTTTTCGTGCCCGCTCCTAGTTTATACTCCGCCATGACAAACACACGAGACTTCCGAATGAAGGGCAGATTGGCGCATGACATCCTTTTGATGTGTCATAGTCTTTTACTGTCGCCTTACAATTATTAATATTATTAGGAAAATATTAATTATGTATTTACTGAGATAGGACTTTCTTGCTTTATGGCGCGGGTACCACTGTGACAAGTGGAAAATTACGTTGTTAAACGCGTCTTGTGGATTTTTGACAGGCAACTCTCCCCACTTGAATTCTTTTTATGGGGGGGGGTAAATGTTTTACGGTGCTCGCGACTGCATCACAAAGTCATGTGAGCGCACGGGACACCATCCCAATTAGGACAGGTGTATCGTATCTTTTCATGTCTTTTCGCATTTTAGTATGACCGTAATTTGCAGAAGATAGCAGCAGATAGGAACCTGATGTCAAATTTGGTGTTTTCAATGACTACAAATACAATAATCCTCTGACTCAGTAGAGTGAGTCTGCTGAGCATATCCACTATAAAGCAAAATGGCACACCATTTAATTTTTGCTACTTTTGAGACGAAATGGAAAAAAACTTTTAAAGATTATTTGTCACTAATTGATTGGTAAATTCGCTCTATGCATATTTCTTTGGTGACTGCCAGCGCAATTTTGTTTTGATTTTACTTAAAGACAGATAGTATAGGCTATAGTATAATAGTATTAGTATAGTATCATCAAACAAAATAAAAGGCTAGCTGTATTTTGAATTTTGGAACAACTTTGAATTTGAGTTGATAAGCCATTTTTTGCTAGCGCTGTGTGACAGAGGCCTAGTCAGAGGTGAAAGTAAAAAGTGGGTATGCCTACGGCCCTCTAGTTCACATATTACGATAACTTTTAAAAAGTTAGTAGCTCATCTTTGTACTTCGTATCAGCACATTAACTATTGCTATTTACAAACTGGACACTACAAGCAGGCACTTGGCATGCCTCGAAGCTTGCGTGTTCGTCGGAGCATAAAAGTATAAGTTGCAGCAATCAGTTCATCAATTCATTGTTGTTTTATCAAAACCTACAACTGTTAAAAAATCCTTCAGTCGATAAAATCCACAAGAAAGATCAACAACCTATTTACATTCATTGCAGTTTGTATTTAAAATTACGAAGTGACTATAATTTCTCCGAACGCTCGGGAAAATAAACTTCATCTCTATTTCTCCTAGCGGTTTCCGTTCTCGAGATTTTTGTTGTTATTTTGCTAGATTTAGGCGTCATCTTTCATTCTGCCCTTCTGCGATGATCGGGAAGAAGCATTTTGGTAAATTTTTACTTTCACTCCCGCACACAGATGCACTGCTTCTGGGTTCAAACTGCAGACCCCCCAGATTTTCTTTTTGGAACCCCCCGATTGGTCCAAAGCACGTCTATCTCGATTAAGAACAGATCAAATATTTCAACTATTAATTTGCGACGGAAATGAAGTTGATATTCATGTTCAGCGCATCAATATTTAGTTGTAAATGGACAACTGGTAGCTAAGTGTGAGACGGGAGGGAAAGTAAAAAAATACCAGCATTTCTTTGCATCGAATTCAATTTCTAGAACTAGAATCTAAACCTAGAGATTTTTAAAATGTCAGCATATTCAGATACTTCATTTGAAGATGCCTTCAAGGTACTGCCAGAAAACAGGACTGCTCGACCTAGGCAGTAACCTATTTCGCATTTAGTCACCCCAGGCAAAACACAAAACTCCATGTAAACAAAAAACCCTAGGACAACTTTGTGATTGGCCCAAATATAGATGATGTATTTCTGCCGATCCATTTTTGTCGTCTTCCCGGGGTTTCCCCCAAGACTTTTGGGTTTCCCTCGCCAGTAAAGGTTGACTAGAAATCTAGATCTCACTGTTTTTGTAATATCTTTTAAGGTAGTGTCAATTGCCACCGAGTGACGCGGTGGCAATTGACAAAGATTGACTTTTTGTCCATTGCCACCGAGTAAATTGGAGCTCTTTTGCTTTGGTGTGTAGATCTAGCTTATTGTGCTCGAGTGCTCGGTGTTGTGCGTTTGCTTCTCTGTCCCTCTGTGTGTGTGTGCATATCTTTTCCTGACCCCCGTCCCCCGATTTATGTTCCCCGATATAACGTGAATTTCTGCTTGAGTTAGCGTGCGTTTGTGACCTTCTACTTCTAGAATTGCCTGTGTTGGTTCTACACCAAAGTGTAGGCTAAGGCTAGCCTGGATCTAGGCCTACGTCTCATTGAAAACACGCCAAGTTGGTACCGTAGCTCTAGACTAGATCTAGATTTCTAGATTCTAGATGCTCGTCCAATAAAATTAGTTGAGAACAAATTGACCCATTAGACACACATTAGATCTATATGCTAAAGATAGTGTTGTTTTCAGACTTGACACCGCGTCACTCGGTGGCAATTAACGCTACCATCTTTTAAACAATCTCAGCAATTGTCGTTCCATAAATTTACCTTCTCCTCAAAGTTGTGCACACACACAAAGATACTGCGCACACGTACACGTGTGTGCGCACACACAAACAAACACACACGCACACACACACATAGATATCTAAAGTCAAGCTCGCGCACACACACACATACATAGCCTTAGTCTTAGTGCCTTAGCAGTCGGCGATGAAACCTAGTGATGTAGCCCATCACGTGCTAAGCGGCCCTGCCACAGTGAGATCTACAGATCTAGTCAACTGGTGAGGGAAGCCTCGGCGGACTACAAAAATAGATGGTGGAAATGTTCTATCTAGATCTAGAATCTAGATAGTCTAGAATCTAGCTAACCTACGCCTACGATATCTAGATCTAGATCTAGAATCTAGATTCTAGATTAGATTCTAGATCTAAATCTATATTTGAGCAATCACAGAGGTGTGCTAGGTGCTCAGCCGCTCGCTGTAGCTTCATGTGTTTTTTTCATTCGTTCTCAACACAAAGGATTGTTATGACACAGGCCAACACATGTGTTTGTTATTATTTGGTGGGGCATGCCCTGGCCCTGGCTGTGTTGAATTCATTGTTTTGGTGCACGCAGTTTTTACGATCACATTCAGTTCACTTTGAATATGATGTTTACTCTTTAAATCAATGTAACATACCCGCTTAACGCAAAGACTACGAATTAACAGTAACAGGAACTGTTCAAATATATCAATGTGTTGTAACATGAATCATGAAACCAGTCACATCCCTCAGCAGAGAAAGAGATGCGAAAAAGCACACGTCTGTGCCTGTGCATTTTTAGTGTGAGAACAAATTAAACATAAATAGTCTACTTATCAAAAAAACCCGCAGTCCTGTGAGTTCAGTAGCATACCTGGTTGCATAGGAAACATTGAAATTGGTTTCCTGGTCACCGAAATCACAGAAAATTGGAATTAAACGTTCGCTATCAATGACAAAGGGTATCCAACTGGAGCCTTACGCCATTTTGATTCATGTCTTTGGCTACTTCCTCTCTGGACTCGCTGTTCAAATGTGGGTCACGCACGCAGTGTCTTCTGGGTAACGCTCCCTGGGCGAATAGCCTCGGCGGGCCTGGGCCAAGCCTTGGCTGGCAAGAAAGCCGAGCTTGCACTGCGTAGCCTAGGCTAGGCTAGCCTGGGCCTGAATCCTATCGCGGTGGTACCATGTTGAAAAGAACATTTGTTCAATGGATAAGAACATGTAGATCTAGATCTGATTAATTAATTAATGAGTGGGAATCATTAAGAAATTCATGTAGAAACGCAGAAATGTTTGGTTTATCAAAGCTAAAACTTTTGTCGTCAGAGCGCGCTTAAAATTGCTTTGAGCCAACGGGGCGGAAAGTTGCTGCCGTTGTTATGTAAAATGCCTACCAATTTCTTTCTAAAACGTATAACTCCGTCCTGTTGATTTTGGGATACGCAGGGTTCTATTGAAAGCGCTTAAGTAGCGCTAAGCGCGTGTAGACCAAAGGCCCTACGGTTAACGTTTGCAGTTTTAGCACTATTTTTTTTAAATATTGTTTTTAAAATAAACATCGGGTAAAAGGCTCATCACAATCATTTTTTGAAAATTTCCCATTCACCATATTAATAGACAAGCCCGCACTTCGGTATGTCTATTCATTGCACAGTCGTAGAGAAAAATATAATAGGTCTATGGTCCTGCTGGAGGGGGAAGGGGGGGGGGGGGGCAGTCGACACAAACAACAACTTTTTAAAAAAATAACGCAATTATTATGATACTGTGTACAAGTAATACAGTTTAAGGGAGAAATCTTATTACATGTAATTAATAGCGATTTGGTAAAACGATTGTGTCCAAATCTGTGTACGGTAAATTTGAGGGCCTGATGCCCAATTTGTTATTTTCGCTTCGATGCTTTATTTACTTGGTCCGGCAATGTGAGAAGGGCGTGCAAGGGCAGCAGAAATAAATAAGGGGGGAGGGGGGGGTAACAGCACCTTTTGCTTTGACATAGAACAGGGGGGGGGTATATAAGTGTTTTAAAGCGCTCACTACTGCATAAGGTCATAGATGAGCTCGCGGGACACACTTCACATTTTCAATTGTTTGGAAATTTTGAATTTTGCCTGGGTGGAGGCCGAAGCCAACTCTTATCGAGTATGGACCACCAAAGGGATATTTACGTTCACAACTTGCACACGTGACCACTGAGTCTTTTCGCCATTGTAGAAAGGTTTCAGAAAGAGTCAGGAGCTAGCCCAGTGGAGGGGGGCACAGGATGTGAGGGGGTGGGGGGAGAGAAAGTGAAGACGAAAGCTGACGACAGAATAGAATCTAGTGCAAGAGAAAAGGAAAGAAGGCGAAAGGAGACAATTTTAGAAAGAACATGTTTCCGTTGCTACCCGGATTCGAACCCAGAGCCATTAAATGAGCCAGGTGAACACCTTAACCTCAAGCCTCAAGACAACGAGAGCCCCCATTTAAGGTCAGCATAGGAGCGCATGGGACACACCCAACATTTTCAGTTGATAGGAAATTTTGAATTTTGCCCGGGTGGCGGCGAAGTATACTCTTAACGATTTTGAACCTCCAATAGGGATATTTAACGTGCGCAAACTGCACACGAGACCTCCATCCGAGCTTTTTCGCCTTGTCCGAGAATGCTATGTTTAGATCTTTAAAATCCTGCCTTAAGATATCAGGGGAGTGGCTGAAAGACAGCAGTAGAAAGAGCCAAGGAGTAGCACTAGAAAGGCTGCAGAAAGAGTCATGAGCCCAGAGGAGGGGGGCAAAGGGGTGGGGGCAGAAAGTGGAGACGAAGGCAACGACAAAACATTGCTAGAGAAAGGAGGTGAAACTAGACAATTTTAGAGAAGAAAAATTACCGCCGCTAGGCCTATCCGGATTCGAACTCGGGACCTGAGGCGAACTCCTTGACCTCTAGGTCACGAGAGCCCCTTGAACTTTAATTTGTAGGCCTATATTTTTGTTGGTCTTTTATATTGGTTAGAATAAGAATTCTATGTCAAGCTCGAGCGCTCACATGACCTCATACAGGTAGATGAAAACGCTGTACTATTACCAAACCAAACAAAATTGTAGGCCCTGTAATATCATTAAACTACATTTTGTAAAAATACAAACTATATATAGGTGCTTAATTGCGTTTATGTACATTCCCTTGGGGTAAATATAAGGGTGCATCTGAAATGATATACGTCAAACACGTATAACTAATTATTTTCTGCTTTCTTAGATAACACCTGGGTTATCATTTTAAATTCTGAAAACGAATTTGCGGGTGTAATGCGAAAGAGGTCACTAAACTATAGCGCGAACCTCTCTATATGGTCCATCAAAACGATTACCTTTTGTGCACAATTTTCTTATGAACAACAGGACGTAGGCCTTTATTATGATGTGCATGCAAAGTTCAGAGGCGCACTTTGTAATTCGTTAATGGCACGTTTTATATCAGGCGTTTTACATACAGTAACGATTACTGATTGGAGACCAGAAAGGGGACGGCGTTTACTTGTAAAGACACGTTTCAAATATCATTACCCTAAATCAATTTTGGGTATTATATGTAACATGTTAAAGTTCAACGAGTTACAAAATATAAGCACCTGATCTCGCATGTCAAATCTTTTTTTGAAAATTAACTTTCAAAGCCCAATATATTCATCATTGATGGCATTTTAACCAGATCCTATCTTTAACCAAAATAATAAGTGCCCTCTGTGCCGTTGAAGCGGGATCGTCGCTAAGTGATATCATTAAACATTACAGAAGTATATTATATTACTAACTAAATTAATTACAGCCTACGTCTAATGGATAGATCCCGCCATCCATATATAATTAGTGTGTACATGTATGTGTTCCTTCACTAACATACTTACATACTAACATGAGGGTTAGAACGCTAAGCTTATCAATTGCTCACTGAAAATTAACTTTAATGGCCCAATATCGTCATTGCACGAGAGTTTTGGGATTCTGAGGACATGTCACATGCAAAGAATTAGCCCTAGTTAGCCGTGAATTAGCCTAATTAACTGTTGTTTTCCCGCCTTTTTGAGGGAGTGGACTAGCTGTTATAACTGTTTAGTTTTCTCACGCTTACGTTCAACTTAAAAGAAAACAGAAATTATTCAAGAAGAAGAAGAAGAAGAAGAAGAAGAAGAAGAAGAAGAAGAAGAAGAAGAAGAAGAAGAAGAAGAAGAAGAAGAAGAAGAAGAAGAAGAAGAAGAAGAAATTTTAATGCTCATAGTCAATCATTAGCCTAACCATACCTTTTTTTTTCACCCTAAACACTACACCCAATTCCTAAAGAATGGCCTAATTCTTTCTGGATCATAAATTCTAAATTTCTGAATACATAATAAACTACATGTACATGTACAATGTATTTGTTTTTGGAATCGTTTATTAATTTCTAGTTCTAGATCGGGAGTTTCTTCTCTTTGGAAGGGGAAGAAATCCAACAACCATTACCAATAGGGGCCTCTAGATCTACAGAACACAGAACAGAGTTATCATCCGTTGGGCCTCGTCGTTTTTCGTTTTAACCCTTCTTTTCGGTATTTTGCGGTTATTTGAGTATATTGCGAATAAATACAACTCATTATGATCATTCGTTTGTAAATTATTTATTGAAATCAGAGGAATAATATTTGCTTTATTCATTGAATTTGAATATTTCAGTTGTCTTTCTTTTCCCAAAACTTATAATTTTGGCACATTTTTGAGAACTAGCTTTGCGTAGACAAGTGAGCCTCAGCACTCAAAAGCGGAGTAACTTCCTTTTTATCCGTAGCACATTCACCATGAGGTTTGTTGTCTTCTCCCTTGTGAATTTATCTTTCAATTTTAGATTATTATATAATTTTGCCAGCATAATATATCTATTTAATGTTTGTTTTTAACTCAATAAACATTCTATGAACGATTTGTGCTTGTATTGGAGACGGTACCGCTAATATCAATGCCTTCGATGAAACCAATCCGTCTGTTCTTGCATAACCATGAGAAACATACCTGGGCCTGGGGCTGAGCGGCACGGTCGTTGCTCTGCTAAGTGTAATTTCGTCGGGCCAAGTAAATGATTAAAATGGCTCTGTGAGGCAGCAAAGAACATTTCGCAGATTTTGTCACTGATTTTGAATTGACCTTTTATGTTTCCTAAATAGGACGTTCAAAGATTGTGTGTATTACCGTCCCGTGAATGGCGAGGTGAGGTCCATGCCGCCATCATGTCATGTTGTCTTGTGTGGTGTGCTGTCATGGCAAGTCATGGTCCTTCCATGATGATCAGGCTTATATCAATAAGATGATTGTTTTGAGGATTGGCATATTTTTATTTTGAAAGGATGATGAACAGGAAAAGCTTAGCTATAAACAGTAAAACCATGTTAAAATAATAAGTTAGCAATATGAATATGACTATGAGTCATGCTTTTCTCAAGCAGACTTTGTTGGGCATGTTCACTTGTTCACATTCACAATTCAGACAGATGAGTCCAGTAGATCTAGAACAGAGTAGGGAGAAAATGAATTACATTGGAGTCAACTTAGATCTAGATCTCTAGAAATTTAGGGGAACTGGATTTTTTGGAGGACTTCCGTAACGATCGACCACTATGAGACAGCAGAATAGAGGGTTAGGGATAGAATCCAGGGTTAGGGTTAGGTCTCTTCTTTTTTGTTTGTTGGGGTGGTCGCTTCTTAGTCCTTCCGAATTTTCTTTTGTTTGGCAGTGTCGGGTTAAAAAGAGTTGCTCAAACTACAGATGGGCTAATTGATGGCAATGTAATCGTAGATTCTAAATCTAGAGTGGCCTTGTGCCATCACGGCTACCGAAGCATGCTGAACTAGGTTATAGGCCTATATTTTGCATATTTGAATAGCCTCACTTAGTCTGGCCAATGAAATTGATGTTTACACATTGTAAGAGGTCATGCTCTATAATGGAATCTTCCTGGATAACTGGGTGATAGATTCCTAGAATAATAGGATAAAATTTGTGAGTGGAATATTTTTACTTATTCAGCTCCTCTGTCACACACGCGGCTCCCGGCTTAAGGAAACAGTGCCACCCCACTTTCATATAAAAAAATCCAAAACATCTGAATATTATGCAGGACAGAAGGAGAGCACAACATTCATAGCAGCCACTTTTCCGCCAAATAGCGGAAACTCCGCTTCATCTAGCTTTTCCCGCTGCTTTCCTCCTCATTCCTCATCTGGACCGCTCTTGGTCTCAAATTGTGATACTGTTTTTTTGGGGCAGAAAACACCGAACTGGGAGTGAGATGTAAACATGTCTTGCGCATGTCCGCCCGTAGCTTTCTACTTCCGTTCTTCTGTGCCTATCGCGCTAGTTACACATTGTTTATTGAGGAGCAACAGTGTCGATGGAGCATCGGGGCGTTGCGCGCCGAGTTTTTATTAAAAACAGCGGAAATTCGAGAGAGATTGATGCAGAATGCAAAAATAAGAGCTGAAATGAGAAAGAAGCAGACGGTGTGCGACTTGAAAAGTTTATGAGAAAATTGAACAAGCCGCTTGCTTCACTTTGCGTTTGGTGCGATAAAGAAATCGCTCAGTATAGTGGCAAAGGTTTTGCCTCCTTGGTCCAATACTGCTCTACATCGATTCACAAGTTTAAAGTAAAAGGACATTTTTTATAAGACTCCAGCTGCCAACTAAAACTGGATTTTTAGTCACCAAACTGTGTCAAATGCTTGTAAGTAAACTTAGTATTTTAGTGGGGGGGGGGGTTTCAAATACATTTTAATTCAGTAGTCTATGGTTAACAAATATGACACTTTTCCCTTCCAAAAACATAGGCTATATGTTCCGATATATTGCCTCTGGATCTCACTGGTTTTACTTCGGCCTTCGGAGATCGGACGTACACCTTCACGTGAATTTTCTTTTTTGAAATTTCTGAGTGGCAGCTATGAACATTATGGGAGAATAGAGAATCCATTGGTTTTCAATGAAGTCCGGAAGGAGAAAACAAAATTGCTACGGAAAATGCAATCCTTAATTTTTACTTAGGGAACGTTCGGCATTCCTCGGTTTCCGCAGTGTAGTAACTTGGTGATCTAGATATCCACTTCGAGGCAATGCCTCATTATAATTCATCTTTTTATAAATAGCAATAACGGTCAGGGGAACAGTTCATATCGAAGGCCATGGTTTGTCCTATGATATTGAGCGGGTAGCCGCGTTTCTACAAGATGCAATTTTCTCCTTTCGGCGACGTGGCCACACACACACACACACACACACACACACACACACACACCACTCAGACTCAATCATAGACACAAGCGAGTGATATGGAGGTCAGGCAATGACCCAGATAATAAATGAGCCTTGACATTGAAAGCCCACAACTTAGAAATAGCATTGCTGATTCTTAGGAAATGACGTAGCATTGTTTATTTTTAAGCAAAGAACAAAGGTTGGGGGGGGGGGGGAGTAGATGCTTGTCGATCTTTCTGGGGTCAAAGGTGTCCTCATGGCTTGGAGTAAATACTCAAGACTCGGATAAAGAACAGAACGCCCTTTAGTTGGGCAACGGCGGGAAAACGAGATGAACCTTAATTATCAATTTACGCTCAGACTAGCCTCGTAGAAACGAAATGAACCTTAATTATCAATTAACGCTCAGACTAGCCACGTGGTCGACATAGCCGCACTTGAGCAAAACCATTCTAGAGTTGGGAATGCCATGCTTCCAGCAAATTTTACTTTTTGAAAGTTTTTTTCCCATCTAGCTCTACCTTTTGCAGTAACAATTTCGGCTGCAATCTGTAAGCATTGTTTTTTCTCCTGGACATTGTCAGCTCACTTACTTAATTAAATCTGCTGAGTGGTCACTCGGAACAGACAAAATAAAAGAGTATATAAAGATGGGTACACAGTTCTGTGCTCTGAGGAACTAATCTAGGGGAGAGAAAGCCCAATCAATGCCAATGCCAATGCCAATTCATGAACAAACCACTTGCAGGCTCTATGTACTAACTTTGCAGAGTCACAGGCCATGACCAACTTAAGTTCATGTGACAGACGTACGCGTATCCTTGCTTCACTAGCCTATACACTATGCATTATACACAGTGTGCAGGCCTACTGTGTGATAAATTTACCCAAGCAATACACTGGCGATGCCTCTCTCTCTGGCCCACCATCAATGCACAAGTGTTCTCATGCCAGTTTCTTTTTTTTTTTTCGCTTATCTTGAAGCGTGTAAGACTCAATGATTTGTGTTACTTGAGGGTCACTTGTGAAGATTTAGTAGACATACCTTCGAAATTTTTTTCAGGTTAGAAATAGAAGTTAAGCTTACAGATATGTTTTTTGAACTGTCAGAAATAAAGAAGGAAAAATAGGCTAAGAGACTGGTATTCTTTTTTGTTATTAGCCCTGTTTTGTGTTCGAAGTCTCTGTTTCTACAACTTATGGGTAATGATATGAAACGACCCAGGTTTATTTGTATAAATTTGTAACGTATTCAAGACTTGTGGTAAATGATCTGAAAATACATTTCATTTATGTGTTGCAGCGGGCAGTTTGTAACATAATCAAGGGTTTTGGAGACTGATTTTTGCCCCATAACTAGTTTTTAGAGCAGGATTCTGAAGCAGAGCTACTGCCCTTTGGTAAGCATATTATTATTATCACTGCTTGTTCTTATTGTGGTTTCTTGTGATGTTTTTCAGTACCCTTCGCCTTCAGAAGCGCCTCGCTTCGAAGGTGCTCAAATGTGGGAAAAACAAAATTTGGTTGGATCCCAATGAAACTAATGAAATTGCCAACGCCAATTCACGTAAGTCATGTTTTGTTTTATTTTTAGGAGTTAAGTATGAGGGTGTAGCAGTTTAGCGGTTCGCTGTCGCACATAGTAGGCCCAAATTGCATTTAGTGTGGGGAGAATTTTTATTGCATGTCTGTCTTTCTTCTGAGATTTTGTATCCCTCTCAGCCTGGGTTGGGGAAGCTCACCTCTAAGATAATATGTCACGACACTGTGAAATGGGACACTCGTCAATTTTTGGGTATGTGGAGTTATTGGTATCATCTGAAAGCTTATTTGTTTTGCTTTCAATGGAAAAAATATTCATCTGTCTTAAATAGAAATCAAAACATTTGGGATTGAAGGTGGTGAGGTTGCCTGGTTCCAATGGTGAAATTAGCGAGAAAATGAACGCCAAAGTTTGTTTCATAACTTCAATGGGTAAAGAGTCCTTGAAAACTGAAAAATGACATATTTTGCATCTTTAATAAATGTTTTTCAGTAAAATTCAAATGGAATTGTATTTACTACAACTAATTTGCATAAAATATATCCCGGTTCAGTAAAACACCAGAAAATTACAAACATGTCAGAAATGTTTCACCAGGGTTTGAGGTATTCTTTTGAAATAATGCTCCAATGTTGTTGTGTTCGGAAAATTTGAACAATTATACAGTTTACATGTGACCAGTTTTTGTGCGCTCGCAAGGCGGGTTGGCATTGATAGAAAGCACAAGCCCCCTGAATGTAATGCAGGAACATATGTAGTTCGTGGGATGTGATTAATAATGATAATAATGTAGCATTTATGCTGCGCATTTCCATGTTCTAAAAAATGCTCAATGCTCATTACATTAGGAGTAGTCTTTTTCATCTTGAAATCTCTTGTCGTGTGGGGGATTTGCCCCTTTTTTAATTCGTTACAAGTGATGTTTGACTTTAATTTTAAGCTGAAAGAGAAGTTCATTTATGAAACCTGAATGATTCATCTGCAGGTCAGAACATCAGGAAGCTGGTGAAAGATGGTCTGATCATCCGTAAGCCTGTGAAGGTACACTCCCGCGCCAGGGTTCGCAAGAATGCTGAGGCTCGCCGCAAAGGTCGTCACATGGGCCATGGAAAGAGAAAGGGTAGGTTGCATTGCACTTTTCTTGTTTTATTTTGTTGTACATTGCAAAGATGGATAGCCTAACTTGAAAGACCTGTGTTGTTGGTTTTTTAAATAGCTGGACTTGTCCACTATTGCCACTCACTGTCAAGAAGGAAAGTAATTTGTCTTACACAGGTTGACGTCTTGGACAGTGCCGTTGTAATGTTTAGAAACAGAAATGAGAAGTAGATATTTGTACGTGTGATTGTCTTTAATAAGTTGTCGATCGGACTGTTTTGACTGTATTACAATGTTTGTGCTTTCTTCTTTTATTAATTTCTAAAAAATGAACTGTGCTGTTCCCCACGTCTTGGAAAATATATTATACACGACGGTGAAAGAGATTAGTTGTCATTATTCAGGCAAAGGTCAAAAGGTCTTTACTGTATGGTTGTTGTTTTTTTGTTTTTTTTACTTCATGTATGTATGAAGGGATAGTCAGCTTATTGTTTGAAGTCAAAAACTAAAAGTACTCTCTTCGCAGGTAAAGTTCAATATAATTGACATCATGTATATGCCAAAAAGAGGGGAGGGGGGGATGCTGGCAGGCAGCTTGTTGCCTTACAGTGTGAAGAATTTGCTGTGATTAGTTCTTTGCAATGAACGAGAGTTGACTGCAAATTGAAAGATTATTGTCACTCACTTACTTCAGTCCAGTCACAACAATAAAAGTTTCTGAAATGCCTGCTTTTTAACTTTACAGGTACAGCAAATGCTCGTATGCCTACAAAGATTCTTTGGATCCGTCGCATGAGGGTTCTTCGTCGGCTGCTCAGGAAGTACAGGGAGACCAAAAAGATTGACAAGCATTTGTAAGTTATTCTGCCTTTATCGTTCGTAATTTCAGATCTGGTTAGTGGTTGTTAATGTGTACATAGGCAACTAGGTCAGCGATTGTTCCGACTTTGTGGCCAGTAAGCCTTTACTCTCGGTGTCGGGGGCAAACAGTCCAAGGTGTTGTGGATGTCAGTTTTTCGGATTGTGTTGCAAATCGCTTTTTCCGCGAAATTTGATGTATTGGCTCAAATGTAAGATATTCTCAAAACTTTGTTTCCGCACCTTATCTACCTTTTAAAAAACAAACATTTTTTATATGTTCAGGCATGACTTTTGTACCAGAAGTTATAAAATGGAATTTCTCAAAAGCATCATCCTGTACCTTTCGTCAGGTACACACACATGCTTGTGTTGTGCACACTAATCAATGAAAGGTTGTGTGGGTGGGTTGTTTTTCTTTGGTAAAAGTGTTTGATGTATTTTTCTAAATGGTAAAAAAGATCTTTTTTTAAAAACATTTCTTGAGAACCAAAATCTGGAATGTCTGTGAAGAGAAAATAGTCATCATTTACTATTTATTCACGTTTGACTTTTTTTTTTACCCCATTTTACGTGATGTCTTTAGCATTGATGGTCTAGTAAGTGGTTAAGCTACCGGAATCTCTAACAGTAAGTTCTTTGTTCGAATCCTGTCGGTTGGGGGACAGGCATGTCCTTATGGAAAGGCACTCTAAATGCATTTTTCTTCACTTCACTCAAGTGAGAAGGGTATCTGGCTTTAGACAAGAAACGATCTTGACAGTTTGTGAGTGTTTTACCAGGTGTTTTCATCCCGGGAAGCTGAGAATGTCTTAGTGTGATCTAGTCTCCTGGGGTAACAATGGTTGTAAAGTGCATAAGCGTATTGTGGATTTGTGCTAATATAAATATGCAATTATTATTACTGCCAAGCTAGAAGTGCAATTAACTGGTTGATTTTCCTGTAATGGCAGGTACCGTGAGCTGTACATGAAGTGCAAAGGTAATGGCTTCAAAAACAAGCGTGTCCTTATGGAGTTCATCCACAAGAGGAAGGCCGAGCAGGCCAGGTCCAAGCTCCTCAGGTATGTTTTCTGTTTGTTCTGCTCATTTTATTCAGTCCTTCACCCATTTTTTCATTTGCGTTGTATTTCGGGTGACCCTATTTGAGCTTATATGTGTAGCCCAAACACTAAAAAAGCAAGGTGAACAGTTTGCTACTCTATCGTACTTTGTTTACGTGTCTTAGCCTCTAAGCGACAGTTGCTGGCTAGAATCTAGATTTTAGACCTTCCGAAGGCCAAATGTGACGAAGTGAATGGACACAACGTCTTATTACATTAAGTAGAATCAAGATCCAATGAATCGCCCAGATCTATAATTATGTAGGTCGTATCTAAGCAGGAATTCACAAGGATTTGGGGGGGGGTCCTGATTATGTAGTTTATGATTTATACACTAGTAAACTGTTGTTCGGCACGGAGGGGTGAAAAAACTAGGCTAAACTGGATGAAAAGATGTAGTTGTGAATCCTCCTGAAGCCGAAGGTGGTGAAGCAAGTTGAACAAAGTCGCAAGGCATCTTATCAACCTTGGTCCCCCGATTCACAAAGATTGGGGGGGGGGGGGTATGCATCTGTTTAACTGAAATTGACAGGCGTTCTCATCTTTTGTGATAATTTGGTTTGGCCTCGGCCTTAATTATTGCATAAGCCCAACCCTACTACCCTGTAGCCATGTAAAGTTAACTCCGTTGTTCTAGTACTCTTTAGACCAAAACCAGGGACTGGCATTCTTTTTTTCCAGAATATCTATTGTACTAAATTAAGATAATAGCCTGAAATTTATACAGTGGTAGTGGTATGCTATAATGCTGTCACTGAGCACACAGATACAACTGAGCGACAAAGATGCCAAAATGGGGTAGTGAAACTCTTAAATTCTAGAGGTCAATTACTTTATTACTGTTGCGAAATAGGAGTAGCCTTAATAAGGTGGGGGATTGCAGGGTGCCAGCTTATATATAGGCTGTATCAGGGATCAGTTTTCTGCAATTGCGAGAACTTCCCAAAATGTGCTCTGCTGTTGTTCCGCCCCGCGATCTGCAGATTCGACTAAGCTCGGCCTATCGTGGACCAGAGACGAAGGCTTGGGGGGAGGAAAGAAAGTCATGAACAGTAGTTCATAATTTATTTTGCATTTTTTAAACTGATGGGGGGGGGGGGGGGGTGCAATATTTACTGAAATCCCTAATGGGATCAACCATCGAAGTTCAAGGGTTGGCGAAAAATTTCACTGTGATCCCTGCTATGTGTATCCCAAAGAAGCACCCCCTTATATTTGAGATTTTATTTGTTCCAATGATCATAATCATTGTTTTCTCCTTTCTTCCTTTCTTTCAAGTTTGAGCAAGAAACAGCAACATCTGTTTGATTGTTATGTCTGAAAATTCAATTTGTTTACTTGTTATGGATGTGAATCTGAACCAAAGTTTTTTTGTGGTCTTTTTTTCTCCCTCACCTTTCATTTGTGATTTGTTTGATAATATTGCCTGTTTGTCTAGTCTCATCCCCTCTATCAGTCACATTACCTGTAATTGGATCTGAAATGTGTTTTTGGGATGGGTGATGACTTTATTTTTAAGTACATTGGTCTGTAAGAAGAAAACTGTCAAGAAAAATGCTCTTTGAACTGTCAGGGCAAAGAAAATTATGTCTAGCCCCCTTCCTTTATTGGCCGAGATTGATTTTTCAGAGTTCAGTACAATTTGCTGTTGTGCTTTTGTCTGTCACTGGTTTGCTTTTGCAATGTTCTTTTTATGTTTTTCCTGAAGTCTAGACCTCTTGACGAGAATGTCATTGCTTTTCTATGCAAATTGGTTAATGTTGTCTTTTTTTCCCTCGTCTACAGCGACCAGGCCGAGGCCCGCAGAAAGAAGGTCAAGGACGCTCGTATCAGACGTGAGGAGCGCATTGCTCTCAAGAGGGAGGAAATGCTTAAGAACATTGAGGAGGCCAAGAAATAAGTTTCTCAATAAAATTTTATGATGTAATGTTCTTGTTATACATGAGTTGTTTCATTTGTGTGTATGTTCAATTTTAATGGCTAATGTGTTTGAGACCTTGGGCTCCCTATACTGCCACTGTGTGGGTGGTTGCCAGGCTCTGGTGTGGTTTGCTCCTTCTTTCATATCAAACATGTATCTTCCTTTACTCTTTTGTGCATGTTACTCTCTTGTGAAAGTGAGTGGTTGGCGGGTGCTCTGGTGTGGTTTCTTGCTTCTTTTCTATCAAACGTCTATCATCTTTATCTCCCCTCCTTTTGTGTTTGTTACTCTCTTGTAACACCTCTATTTGGTATTTCCATATTGAGAGAGCACTCGTGTAAAAAATAGAAAATAATATTCATTTTTTCATGGCCTTGAGGCAGATTTTTTAATTTAGTGCTTACCAAAATCTGCAATATTTGGTTATTGTATTATTTGTATGGTAATGGTAGGTTCAACTCTACGCTCAACATCACGGAGATCGAGCCATGTTTTATTTTCCACTAACATGCTTGACAGTTGTACACTACTACCGGTACACCTTCAGACACAATTTAGGTCATGAACAAGGTGAGGTTTGTTGGGATTAATAGGTGCCACTCACTGTGACTGAGTTGGGAGGGGGTTGCGGCTGATAGAGTTGGTAATACCAAGTCGTGTCCAGTGCTTCACATCTATCAGACTATCGAACACGGCTGTCATTGCCTTATGCACGAGGAGGAAGAGAAGGACGTATTGACTACTACATTTACATGTAGTAATGTGAGGGTGGTTGGTGGGTGCTCTGGTGTGGTTTGCTTCTAACTTCTTTCCCATCAAACACCTGTCGTCCTTATCTCTCCTTTATTGTGTTTGTTACTCTCTCGTAACACTTCTAATCTTTGGCACCTATATGACCTTATTGTGTTGCAAGTGCCGTAAAACACTTACTAAAATTAAAACGTAGTACATGTAACACGTACCTGAACTCCATTGAAGATGAACATGATCAGCTGGGGATCAAACTTGTGTCAAGGGCAGTAACAATGAAAATTACATAGGGAAGGGAAAAACGGCTCACGACTGTTAAACTGTGTCAAGGGAAGTAACCGTGAAAATAACACATGTATTTCAGTCACAAAAATCTTGTTTTTGTCACTTTGATTAATTTTTGATAAATATTGTATGTTTTTGGTTTGCACTTGGCTTATCGACACATTTAAACACAATTTACTTTACTTATAGATCTAGTAAGTTATAGTATAGTACCGGTACAAGGCTGGATTTTCAAAAAGATATTCGTTACCAATTTCAGTAAGCTTGTCGGAACTACTGAACTACACAGCCGAAAAGACTTACGGCACCCAAAGGAGAAAGAAAAAATAACAAGTCCGAGTCCGAAGAACCATTATAATGATGAGTAAAACAGCATAGAGGCTAAGCCTACAGTGTGTCTCAGATTTATAAATTAAAAGCTCTTGATTCAGAAATGATTTTTTTAAATTTTTAAGTAGACACGTTTACATTTTGTTTGAGTTTGATTGAATTAAAATAATATTTTTGGTATAACTTACTCACCAAAATTAAATGAAAGCGAGGATTGAAACATAAATTCAAAACACTCATGAAGAAAATCCAAAACTGGCAAAACAAGACGTTTATAAATTTCAGCGCTCATTGGTGAACGGTTCAGTACATATATACTTAATTAAAACTTAACACAACAATTAAGAGCAACATGAATCACATCACAAATACAAACAATTTGAATGAAAAATTATATAGTGAGACCAGATTTTATTTTTCTTCAATCATAGTCATTGTGATTATTTATAGTATAGTACATGTATGTACGTACATATGATGTAGTGAGTAGTGACCATAGACAAAGCCTTGGTATTGGTATCCATCTTAACATTTAACAAGTTCTATACGTTCTTCTATCTCTCCATTTTTGTGCCGGGATTTATATCAGCACATGATCAATCATAGCTAAAGATGATTTCAATGAACTGATTCCTTGGCCTGTCTTGAAAAATAAATGATATCAAAGACAACAAAATGAGGGCTTTTTTAATGGCGGTAAGTGCTGGCCTAGACTATTTCTTTTTTTAAAAAACACCCCCCCCCCCCAACAGAACTACATGTACAAGAAAAGCAAAAATAAAACAACGTATGAATGATGGAAGTAAAGGCAGAGATAGATATATCGATGCACAGTACAAGAGCTAATGAATTCTTATATCAGGTCAATGATAGTACATCTTGTTATGTACTATCATTGATCAGGTCTACACGACTCACACACTGCGATTACAAGACAAAATGTACTGGCAGTTTGAAGCAGCTACTCGTCGCCTGGCACTCGCTGTGGTTTTATTTTAAAAGACAGTAATAATATTAATATCCAGTTTCCTCCAATGTCCAGGAGAGCCCAAACCTCACATCTTTGCATTTCAACGGCCAGTCACTTTGAATATCTTCAAAACACTCTCCCCGCCTTATTTATTAAGGTATCGATACCAGACTTCGGCAGAAACGTGCACCCTGTTTTAAAATGACAGATGGAATCAATAACTGAATTTTGTCCCAAAATGGGTAAACTGTTTTAAAATGAAAATTAAATCCAGCCCGTTGTCCAGACACGCAAAGATGAAGACAAGACGACAGAAACGAGAGCGATTTGGGTTGGGGGGGGGGTCGACTGGTCACATAGTATTAGTATAGACCTCTACAAATACTTGTATTCTTGTCTCCTGGAATAAAAAGACACATAATAATAATAATAATAATAGATAGCATTTGTATAGCGCCTATCCCCGCTCAGCAGCAGGCTCTATGCGCTTTACGCTATATTATTACCCCAGCAGACCATAGAACACTCCGAAACATTCTCAGCTTCCCGGGAAGCCTATTGATGGGCTACTATTCATACAGCATAGGGAAGGGGGGGGGGGGTCTAAAAAAAAGCTTTATCTTATCTTTATTCTTGGGGAAAAGAAAAAGATCAACTGGTCACACAATTTATTAATCCTGCGGTGACACCCAAGATCAGCTTAGGTTCTCTGAAAAAAAGGGGATTAAGATAATTTTATGGAGATGCAGGGAGAAAAAGGGTTTTTGGATAGTGTAAAAATGTTATGCAAGATAACAATGCATGCAATACATATGTGTGTGTCCCCCTCCAATAATTTCTGTAATAAGGGGAAATGAGCGCATGAAGAGATTAAAAACATCTCTCTCTCTCTCTCTCTCTCTCTCTCTCTCTTTCTCTCTCTCCATCCCTCCCTCTCTCTCTCTCTCTCTCTCTCTCTCTGTATGTGAGGGGGGGGGGGGAGAAAAAGGCAACAAAGAATAAGAGCTATGAGAAGACCAGACAAAGAGGTATTAAGAGTATTATTAATTATAATAATGTCTAGTAGTATAGTAATTACCCAGTGCTGCCATACACAGCTGCCCGTGCTCCCCTCGGGAAAAAACAAACAAACAAAACACGCACACACACACACACACACATAATACTGCGGAAGTTGTATCGTGACATTGTTAAGTTTGGTCTAATAAATCCCAAACCAACAATACAATGTAAAAATAAAAACTACGTCTCAGTTTACAGGACTAAGTACGTATATACACATGTAGATCTACATGATGTAATAGATTAACGGCTGGACATACACGAAATACACACGTGTACACATACATTTTCCAAATTGCCTTTTTTTTCGCTGTACTCATAGGAGGAATAAAAACGAACACAGTTACGGTATCTAATCTATTACGCTCTCCTCCAGCCACACCTGGCAGAATTTTGGTTTATCATGGAGGGCAAACACCACCTCTTGCTTGTAGGTGGCGATAACGATATCAATGCGCCCTCCACTGTCGTACACAAGCCATGACGCGAGAGGGAGAGAGAGAGACCAAGAGAGAGAGAGAGAAAGAGAGACTGGCTCGTGGTTGACGTCGCACCGCGTACCTTTGCCTATTGATGTGCGTAACTGTTGTGTCGATTCGCGACAATATCGATACTTGTACTTGTCTTGTATTCATTCTTCAGTTTGGTTGGGTCTGCTTAAATTTAAGTTAAGGCCACTGGCAACAATAATTTTTCATGGAATGTGAAAACATTAAATCCTTTCTAAGCAATATTACAAAAAGGGACATCAAAAGCAGTTTGAGGAACAGAATCTCGCTAAGAAATTGAAGCTGTAAAAAAACTAAAGTACCCTGAAGCCGTTTCGAGAAAATGATTAAAAACCAATCAACCAACCAACCAACCAACCAAATTACTACATAACCAAAAAAACAACAACCAACAACCCCCAAACAAACAAACAAACAAACAAACAAATAAACAGAAAACACATTCTATCGGTATTTTAAAAACCGAATTTGTATTTTTATTTCTTTTTTGCTCTGTTAACATTTTCTTATACTAGTCCCAGGACTACATCCCCCGTCTTGTTGTTTCAGTAAGTATGTTTTACTTTTTCTAAGCGCTAAATGATTATCATCATATGTCAATGAAGTAATTTTTATTACTGAATCAAAATGAAAGTGTTCGCGCGCGTACACGTGCGTGTGGGTGTGTTTGTGTGTGTGTGTTTGTGTGTGTGTGTGCTTGTGTATGCATGTGTAAGCATGCATGCATGTGTGTGTGTGTGTGTGTGTGTGTGAGAGAGAGAGAGAGAGAGAGAGAGAGAGAGAGTGTGTGTGTGTACTTGTGTATGCGTGTACATGCATATCTGTGTGTGTGTGTGTGTGTGTGTGTGTGTGTGTGCCTGTGTATGTGTATGTGTGTGTGTGTGTATGTGTCTGTGTATGCGTGTGTATGCATATATGTGTGTGTGTGTGCCTGTGTATGCATGTGTGTGTGTGTGTATGCGCGAGCGCGCACGTGCGCGCGCGCGCGCGCGCGCGTGTGTGTGTGTGTGTGTGTGTGTGTGTGTGTGAGCGCGCAATAAAGACATTCTCAGCATTTTCAGAAAACAGATATCTTTATGTTATATGGAATGTGACTTCAAGCTCCAACGTTGTATAGGAGTATGTTGTTAAGTTATTACATTACCAATTTTTCTCTCTCCCCCCCCTCTCTCTCCCCCCCTCTCTCTCTCTCTCTCTCTCTCTCTCTCTCTCTCTCTCTCTGTCTCTCTCTCTCTCCCCCTTCTCTCTCTCCCCCTTCTCTCTCTCTCCTCGTCTCTCTCTCCCCGTGTCTCTCTCTCCCTCTTTCCCCCCTCTCTCTCTCCCTCTCCCTCTCTTTCTGTCATTCTCCCTCCCCCATTCCCCCCCCTCTCTCTCTCACTCTCTAATCCCCCCCCTCTCTCTCTCTCTCTCTCTCTCCACCCTTTCTCTCCCCCCTCTCCCTCTCCCCACTCTCTCTCTCTCTCATCCTCCCCCCTCTCTCTCTCTCTCATTCTCTCCCTCTCACCCCCCTCTCTCTCTCACTCTCTCTCTTGTCACGATCGCTGTGACGTCAATCTGTCAACGGACAAAGGTCCGGTATCGATACCACCATTTGGATTAACTCACCTGTGTGCTGCCTTCGCCGCGACACGGTTCTGATCCAAACGACGCAACCAACCAACGCGAACCAGGAAACGACTCGCGCTTTTAATGGCCGCCTCGCATACACCTGTGTACCTTACAGCCTCTTCTAAAACTTTGGAGGAGTTAATGGCTAATCGGTAAGTAGAAATTATACGTGATTTTGTGAAAAAAGTGATGTGATTTATATTTAGCGATACATATTCCAACAGAGAACGCTTGAACCAAATATTGTTACGGTACATTCTTAGCCTACCTGAGTTAGGGCCATTTCTTGAGTCTTAGTATTATATGGACGACAGGCAGGCTGGATGTTTTGAATAACTGGACCCAGATCCCAAGCGTGTAGGCTTGGGGCAGGGTGGGGTACAACTGGCCTATATCTTCAACACTGTGGGGGAAGGACCAGATTTTGACTGATACTTTTGATAGCGTCTTGTTCTAGTTTTAAAACAACATAGCACCCAAAAATCCGCTATTTGTAAAAAACATTCTCAAAATACCAGCAGCGACAGGTGAAATAATGGTTATTTCGAAACACATTTACCTTACAGTTACAGTTTCGAAAAGAGCCCTCAACTTACTTTAAGCTTAGGTCAAAGACGGCCGGGATTTTGCCCTGCTCGACCAGAAGGTTAGGTGTAAATGTAAGTGTGTAAGGGTTTGTCAACGGAAGGAAGAACGACAGACTAAGGTCTCCAGTCTGTTTTGTTGAACTAGTAAGACATTTTACAACAAGGTGTCTGTTAAGGGAGATATATTTGACTCTGATTTTGACCCCAAGAGTGTTGGAATATCGATACAGGTAGTAACTTTTAAGTGGTTTGGGTTAGGGTAGGGTTGGGGGTGTAGGGTTAAGGCAGGCTTGTGTTAGGGTTAGGGTAATAATCATTTGGGCTAAAACTGAATTATTGTACCATATAAATATACCTTTAAAATACAAATGACAAAATATACCACGTATATGAATTTGAGAGCCGTAGCCCATCGTTAGAATGATAATGATATACCGGCCATGTTTCAAATACAGGTTCCCTAACTATCAGATTTCATGCCGAGCTGTAGCTGTGGAAAAGACTTTAACTCCTTCGTTGCTGAGACATTTCCATCGATGTTTATACGAACAAGATAACAATAATTATGTTCATTCAAGAGAGAGTTTTCAACAAAACATGATATATTTTCTTTTCTTAAAAAAGTCTTTTTTACATCTCCAAAAATTCCGATGTACACCGGTTTAAAAAAAACGGAACAACAAAAACTAAAAACTAAAATTACACCAAAAAAAGGAAAAAAGAAAAAGAAAAGGCAGAAAAACAATATTGGAGAACACACGCAAGCACCTACTGGTCTATGCCTACGCATCTGGAAAGAGGTGTAAGAAATACATGATAATGTACTTTAAAAACTTAATGAAAACCCACCCTGAGGGAGCATGACTTTTGCAAGAAAATATCGCGTAGGTAGAATCTACAAAATGACTGAGATTTCAGAAACGACAAATAGTCTGGCACAATCAGCCCCACCGGTCGGTCGCCCGTTAATTCATTTCTTCCTCACTCTGATGCCTACCTTAACTTGTGCAACCTTCTAGATCTAGGAGCATACGTTTATATTGATCTTGATCGAGAGGTTTTTTTTCTCTCACAAGGGTGAATCACTGTGTAGTGCGCAGTAATACTTTATTAGAGAGTGTGTCAGGTCCCGAAATGTATGGGATAAATCCTTAACAGCAACAGCAGCCAAGAGCAACGACACTTGTTTCAAATGCTAAAATGTAATAGGTGAAATTTTGTTTAACAATACAACCCCCTCCCCCAAAAGAAAAAACCCAACCCACCCCCACTAAATACCAACCAACAAACAAACAAACGAACAAACAAACAAATAAACGAACAAACAAACAAATAAACGAACAAATAAACGAACAAACAAGCAAAGAAACCAAAGAGAAACAAACATTGATACGGTTCATTAGCTCAAAACATTTATACGCTCTCTGGCATTTCGATGGAAGATTTGGTCGACTCATTGGGTTTTCCAGGTTCAATAAAATCTAAATTATCATTTCCTCCCTGGAGTGTGAATCACATAATAATATTGCCCGGCAATAAAGAACATTGCTTGGCTTATTACTAATGCTTATAATAGTGCTAATATTTCTACCAACACACACACACACACACACACACAC